GATATAATTACTGATAAGAAAGGACTTACATCTGCTATTGTTGGATTTTTGAAAAGAGCAACAAAATTGACAAAACTTTATTTAGCTGGACTAAGAAGAGAGAAGATATAATTACTAAAATGACAAATGAAGTTGACATTACTACTAATTTTATTAAAAGTATAAAGAATTATAATATAATTGTAACAAATTAGTAACCTAGATGAAATGGAAAATTTCAAGAAACAAACAAAAATACCAAGCTGGCTCAAGAAGAAATAGAAATCTAAACAGACCTATAACAGATAAAAAGAGTCAAAACTCCCAAGAAAGAAAAATCCAGAACTCAGTGGCTTCACTGATGATTTCTACCAAACATTTAAAAAAGAATTAACACTAAACTTTCTCAAACACTTCCAAAAAAAAAAGAAGATGAAGGAAAGAACACTTCCTAACTCAATCTATGAGGTCAGGATTGCCCTGATAACAAAGCCAAAGATATCACAAGAAAAGAAAACACAGACCGGCTGAGCATGTGGAGTGTGGGCAAGGGCAAGGGCAGGATACATAACCTAAACATTTGTACTCCATAATATGCTAAAATAATTAATTAAAAAAACTACAGATAATATCCCTTATAAATATAGGTCAAAAACCCTCAACAAAATATTAGCAAACTGAATTCAGCAGTTTATGGAAAGGATTGTACATCATGACCAGTGAGATACATCCTAGAAATTCAATTCATGGTTCAACACATGAAAATCATTTAATACAGTACATTAATTGAATGAAGGACCAAAACCACATGATCATTTAGATTGATGCAGGGAAAAATCCTTGACAAAATCTAACACCCTTTCATGATTAAAAAGACAAAAACTCAACAAACTAGGATAAAAGGAAACTTCCTTAAATGATAAAGGGCATTTATGAAAAACTCACAGCTAACATCATATTTAAGATAAAGACTGAAAACTTTCCCCCAAGATCAAGAACAAGACTAGAGGATACCTGTTATCATCACTTCGATTCAACATCTTACTGGAAATTTTAGAACAATTAGGTAATAAAAAGAACAAATGTCATCCACATTGTAAAGGAAGATGCAAAACTATCTCTACTCACAGATGGCATGATCTTATATATAGGAAATCTCAAAGAACCACAAAAAGTCAACTATTGGAGCTAATAACTTCAGCAAAATTGCACGATGCAAGATGAATATACAAAAATCAACTGTGTTTCTGTGTACTAGCTATGAACAACCTGAAAAAGAAATTAAGAAAACAATTCTATTTATCATCAAAAAGAATAAAGACTTCGTAATAAATTTAACCAAGGAGGTACTACATTTGTACATTGACAACTAACATTGCTGAAGGAAATTAAAGAAGACCAGAATAAATAGAATGACATCCCATGTTCATGGACTGGAAGATTAATATTGTTAAAATGGCAATACTCCCTAGAATAATCTACAGCTTTAATATAATCTGTATCAAAATCCTAACAGCCTCTTTTTTCTTTTTTTTTTTTGAGACAGAGTCTTACTCTGTTGCCTGGGCTAGAGTGCCATGGCGTTAGCCTGGCTCACAGCAACCTCAAACTCCTGGGCTCCAGTGATCCTCCTGCCTCAGCTCCTGAGTGGCTGGAACTACAGGCATGTGCCACCATGCCTGGCTAATTTTTTCTATATATTTTTAGTTTTCCATCCAATTTCTAATTTTTTAGTAGAGACGGGGCCTCACTCTTGCTCAGGCTGGTCTCGAACTCCTGAGCTCAAACGATCCGCCTGCCTCAGTCTCCCAGAGTGCTAGGATTACAGGGCGTGAGCCACTGCGCCCAGTCATCCCCAACAGCCTCTTTTGTAGAAATGGAAAACTAATCCTAAAATTCTAAAGGACCCTGAATAGCCAAGACAATCCCGAAAAAGAACAAAGTTGTAAGATTCACACTTCACAATTTCAAAACTTACTGCAAAGGTACATAATCAAAACAGTGTGGTACTGGCACAAAGATAAACTCATAGATCAATGGAATAGAAATAAGAGTCCAGAATAAACTCATATATCTATAGTCAATTCATTTTTGACAAGCGTGCCCACACCATTCTATGGGGAAAGAATATTCTTGTCAACAAATAGTGCTGGGAAAACTGGATATGGACATGCAAAAGAAGCAAATTGCACCTTTACCTCACACCATACATAAAAATTAACTCTAAATGGATTAAAGACCTAAAAATAAGAGCTAAAACTATAAAACTCTGAGAAGAAAACATAGGGGTAAATCTTCACGGCCTTGGATTAGACAATGGATTCTTAGATATAACACCAAGAGCAAAACAACAAAAGAAAAAATACATAAATTGAACCTCATGAAAATAAAAACTTTTGTGTTTCAAAGGCCATGATTAAGAAAGTGAAAAGATAATTAACCCACAGAATGAGAGAAAATATTTGCAAATTATATATCTGAACACAGTGGGTGCTCAGTAAATGTTTGTTGAATGAATAAATGAACAGGAAAGAGTTATCAACCTTACAAGGCAATATGTGAGAAGTACAAAGGCTACAGGAGCTCCGAGGAGACGCAAGCACATCCAGCTGGACTCTGAGGTCACTTGATAGTCCACACTGCCATTAACCAACCATACCGGCAGTTTAAGCAGGTCACCCGGGGTTCCAGCAACCTTGACTGGAAAAAAAAAAACAGCAGGGCTTCTAGATTATGAGGATCCTTCTCACTCTGAATTTTTTTAATGTTTAACCTAAAATCTTTGACACTTAAAGATTTTAATGAAAATGTCCATTCATTTGTTATATTTTTAAAATTATAAATGTAATACAGGTTTACTGCAAGATATTCCAACAACACACATAAAGTTTTTATAAAAAGGGAAAGGCCTCCCTCCCCTTCCCAGGCCACACCTCCACTCCTACCATCAGATGCTTGTTTTTTCTCTTTCCTTCCAGACGTTCCTCTTTGCATACAAACAAAAGTATGTATGTGTACATATACATAGTGTTTTTCTCAAAAATGAGATCTTATGGTGCACATTGTTCTGCAACTGGCTTTTATCACTTAGAAATATGCCTAGGACATTCTTCTATGCCAGAACCTGGCAGATCTAGCCCTCAAATGTACACACACACACACACACACACACACACACACATGAATGTTCATTGCAGAATTGTTTGTGGTAGCTGGAAATTAAAGACAAACTCTGTGTTCATCCCTAATGAAATGGATAAATAAAATATAACAGATGCATATTTAGCATTAGAAACACTAAATGTACACCTAACAACATAGATGTCTATGAAAACAATGTGAAAAAGATATGAAAGGGGCATTAAAAGATAAGAAACAGAATGAGAACTATGGCACAATACCCTTGATGTAAATTAAAAACATGTACATACACAGAACACTATATATTTTACAAGTATACACATATTATATCCAATCCCTAATATACCAAAGCGCTAGACAGAGTAGGCACCTGTGGTAGAGTTCGGAGGGATAAGAGTGGGAATTGGGACCAAAATGGACAAAGTAAATAAAATACAATAATATTTAAATAAAAGCGGTCTTGCAGAGATCAGCGGCAACAGCATGCACAGATTTCCATAGAGGTGCCATAATTTACTGAATTCCTCTACCCATAGGCATTGAGATTCTCCAGTCTCTCATGAGTATGGCCTGTGGGGGGTTCAAATAGACTCAGTTTTAGTGGCTCTGCTGATTATTAGCTACTTGCCCTTGGACAAGTTACTTAATACCTCTCAGCCTCAGTTCCTCTCTTGCGAAACAGGAATAATGACATCTGTTTTCTTGAGATCATGTTTATAAACTGCTGAGCATGGCGTCTGGCACACAGCCCAAGCCAGCCAGCGGTTCTCATGCTCACGAGAGACTTGCAGGAGACGAGCCCACAGGATGGGGAGCCCCACCGGCAGGGGCCAGGTCAATCTTGCTCATCCCTGTACCCGGCCAGCACCTGGCACACTATATACACCCTTAGTGACCGTTTCTTCAGTGGGTGTGGTTTTTGTCAGCAGTTTCAGGGTAATTCATCTTCTGTGGCATCTAATGGCGTGATCGGGTTCCAGCCACCTATTCTGTATTTCTTTAGTAGTGGCTGTAAATCACTGCTTTTCACACAGTGTGGTATGAGTGTCTAAACTTCATGCCCTTGATTTATGGTTTATGTGAGGGCCAGAGATAGGGGGACTCCTCTGCCCTCACCCCCCAAGAGAACAAAAACTCAAAGATGTCGTCTCACAGATAATGAGTCAAAAACAGCAGCTCCTCTGCATAGCAAGATCTGTAAGAGGCCATCACGGGGCTCACTCCTGTGTGACCCTGAACAAGTCACACGAACACTTCATGCTCAATTTAGTCTTCTGCCAAATGCGGATAAGACCACCTGCACCCTTCTACTGTACAGTGTTTTAAAAACTAAGTTAGATAACGACGTAGCACCTCGAAAAGAATAAAATTATATAATTAGTAAATTATTTAGGGAATGCAGTTATTAGTAACCTGTGTTTGGGGAGGGAGTTCAGGTGAAAGACTGAGTCGAATCTTCAGGGACAGTATTTTTCCTGTTCTGGCCACGCTGGCGCTTTGTGCTAATTGCCTGTGGGGGGAGGGGATGCCCCCTTGGGCTGGGCAGACCCAGCCCGAGCGAGCCAGGCTTCCAGGCAAGGACCCAGCGCTCCTCCGCTCCTCCGAGGGCCGGGACCAGCCCCGGGGTTAAAAGCTGCGCTCCCTGCAGCCTTCCCGGTTCCGCGCCTGCCCTCCTGGACGCGCCAGCGCGACGATGCAGGGGGAATCCAGAAGCCAAAGGTGTATTTCCATAAATGGTCCCTTGACTTACTATGGGAGAAAAGGAGGGAGAGGAAAACAAGGAAGTAAGATGGGGGAAAGGAAAAGAGCAGATACGGGGAAAAGAGAGAAAAGGGAGAATGTTAAATGGCTAAGGCGCTGCTTTTGGATTCCTTTTTTAGGAGAGAGGTTGGAGGTGACATGGTAGTAGAGCCCCAGACCATTGTGTAGAGGTCCGTGATCTTCGGCACCAAGAAGAGATAGGAAAGAAAAATATTTAAACTGCAAAGAGAAGTTTTTTTTTGGTTTTATTTTTTAATTTCAAAATATTAAGGGGGTACAAATTTTTGTTACATGGATGCCTTTTATAACACTTACTTCGGGGCTTTCAGTGTGCCTATCACCAGAACAGTCTTCATTGTACCCAGTAGGTAAGTTTTTACTCCTCCCTCTCCCCATTCTTGATTTCCAATGACCTTTACATCTCTTTGTGCTCCTGTGTGCCCATTGATTAAGGGACATTTTATTTTTATTTATTTATTTATTTATTTTTTACTTGGACATTGACTTGGAAATTTAAGGGACATTTTAAAACAACAGTTTAAACAGCCCTTTAACACTTTTGTATGCACCACCCGGTGCTGGGAACAGAATCTTCAAGCAAAAAAGGATAATAACAGTATCCTCAGTGCCTGTCTCTACGCACACACCTTCCTTTTCTCTTGCCAAGGAATTTACCAATATTTTATCATGCTGAAATCTCAACATGTGCAATCTCAATTCCTCCTTTTAATTTAAGTCTGTTTTTTGCTTTTTATAGACAAGGAAAGGACCTGCTAAGCATGCATAAATCTTTAAAGTCCCACCATAATAGTGAAGACATAGGCTGGAAGTGGGGAAAAAACTCCTCTCTCTTTTTTTTTTTTTTTTTTTTTTTTGAGACAGAGTCTCGCTTTGTTGCACAGGCTAGAGTGAGTGCCATGGCCGTCAGCTCGCTCACAGCAACCTCAAACTCCTGGGCTCAAGCAATCCTGCTGCCTCAGCCTCCCGAGTAGCTGGGACTACAGGCATGCGCACCACGCCCGGCTAATTTATATATAATATATTGTTGGCCAATTAATTTCTTTCTATTTTATAGTAGACGGGGTCTTGCTTTGCTCAGGCTGGGTTTCGAACTCCTGACCTCGAGCAATCCGCCCGCCTCGGCCTCCCAGGGTGCTAGGATTACAGGCTTGAGCCACCCGCGCCCGGCCAAAACTCCTCTCTTTAACTCTTCTTTTTAAAAGTCTAAGGTCTTGGACATTTTTCATAGGACCTGTTTCCTCCTGCTCCCTGTTCTCCATATCCTTTATTATTTATTTATTTATATTTTTTTGAGACAGAGGCTCACTCTGTTCGACTGAGCTAGAGTGCCATGGTATCAGCCTCGCTCACAGCAACATCAAACTCCTGGGCTCAAGCAATCCTCTTGCTCAGCCTCTCAAGTAGCTGGAACTACAGGCATGTGCCCACCATGCATGCCTGTCTAATTTTTTCTACATATTTTTAGCTAGCCAATTAATTTCTTCTATTTTAGTAGAGATGGGGTCTCACTCTTGCTCAGGCTGGTCTTGAACTCCTGACCTTGAGCGATCCTCCCGCCTCGCGTTCCCAGAGTGCTAGGATTATGGGCGTGAGCCACCGTGCCGGCCCATATCTGTTTTTAAATGCCAGGCAAAACCAGGTAAGTCTTCCCATAAGGAATTGCTAGAGTAGCACCTAGCAGACACCTTACTTTCTGGCCGGTACATGGAATAGGTCTTTGTCGTTTTTTTTTCTCTTTGGGGACACCCATTGCAAGTTGCCTACAGCTTGCCAGAGAGATATAAACTTGAGAGCTGCTCCTGGGACACCTATGCTTATCTAACTTTTTCCATTCCGAGTTTGTGATGTTGAATTTTTATATTTATTTGATGTACTATCATGCATTTAGTCTTTTTTCTCCCTATTTTATAAGTCCTATAGTCATTAATACTGCCACCTGGGCCAGTTCATGGTCCGGGTCAGCCAGGATTCTTTCTCAACAGTAGAAACAGAAAACACTTTTTTTTCCTCCAAAAATAGTTTCCCTCTGTTGCCTGCGCTACAGTACAGTGGTGTCATCATAGCTCACTGCAACATCAAACTCCTGGGCTCAAGTGATCCTCCTGCCTCAGCCTCTCCAGTAGTTGAGACTACAGGTGCTTGCCACCATGCCTGGCTAATTTTTCTATTTTTAGTAGAGATGGGGTCTCGCTCTTGCTCAGGCCAGTCTCAAAATCCTGGGCTCAAGTGATCCACCTATCTCAGGCTCCCAAAGTGCTGGGATTACAGGCATGAGCCACCACGACCAGCAGAAAATACATTTTAAGAGAGCTTGGTTGTTTTCCCTGGTGCAAACAGCAAAAGTTAGTATCTCCTCCAAGCAGCATAGATTCCCTTAATGCACTTATAATTATGTTTCTTAAATTTTAATTTTTTTTTTTTTTTTGAGACAGAGTCTCACTTTGTTGCCCAGGCTAGAGTGAGTGCCATGGCATCAGCCTAGCTCACAGCAACCTCAAACTCCTGGGCTTAAGCAATCCTCCTGCCTCAGCCTCCCAAGTAGCTGGGGGTACAGGCATGCACCACCATGCCCAGCTAATTTTTTCTATATATATTAGTTGGCCAATTAATTTCTTTCTATTTTTTTATAGTAGAGATGGGGTCTCGCTCAGGTTGGTTTTGAACTCCTGACCTTGAGCAATCCACCCACCTCGGCCTCCCAGAGTGCTAGGATTACAGGCGTGAGCCACTGTGCCCGACCAGTTTGTTTTGTTTTTGACGATTCCATTTCTCTTTTTCTTACTCAGGCTAACATTAAAGCAAGGCTTAAATTGTGAGAATGTGTACCCTCATATAGAGAGTGCCAATAGCCTAAGAACAATCTTCATATCAGGAGAACGCCAGCCCAAAATGACAGATTTGCTGTGGCTAATCCACAAGTGGCCAATTGAGAGTTGTGAAATTTAGGGAAAAAATGGGGAGAAAACTGGGCAAAGGTGAGCAATTACAATATCCAGGATTCTATTTAAGAAGCAAGTCTTGGCTATTTCTCTCAACATCCTGAACTTTCAAATTTACAGGCCAGCAGAGGCAAGAACCATCTATGCATCATGTAAGTGCTTCCTAAGAATCCTTCTGTCCCCAGGCGATGCTCCACTGGGCTGCTTCCATGCCTCAGTTGCACTATACATGGTACACCCTTTCTAGGATTGAGAATTCAATGTTGCTCTCTCGGTTCTTGAAATGCAAGTTCGTCTGGGTTAATTTAACACTCCCAGATTGTGAGAGAACTAGGAACCAAAGGGGAGGCCTTTCAAGGGCCTGAAGAGCAGTCAAGTTACTAAATACACCCTTGAAGTTACAGTCACATTGGCTTGAGGAGTTTTTCAGACTCAGGCCAAAGATCTAGCTGGTGCAGCATTTCTTCTTGACTTTCTGAGCAGCTGGGGTCAACAGCTTCCCACTCTAGGAATAGCCTTTCCTTTTCCATTTTGGCTGTTTTATTCCTGGGCTAAAAGAAATGCTCAATAGGCACAGAGCAGGGCCTAAGATGAATTCTGGCACCACTGAGGGCCACAAAGCACCAGCCCCCACAGACCAAACAACTCACAGAAGAAGATGAGTAATGTCTGTCTTCTTTCTACTGAAGAGACACAAGGGAACAAACACTTGAACTAGCAGGAGATCGTAAAATGGGTATCAGGAAGAACTCCTAAACAGGGAGATGAGCTGATTATCAGGTTGGCAACTCAGTTCCTCAGCTCCCTTAAGTCCTAAATGAAAACAGTAAGTAATCACCTCTTCTTCAAGTATTAGATTGGGGTAAGAAATGTCCTCAGAGGGTTGAAATGTCCTCTGAAATCCTTATCATCTCTGACTCAGTAGAGGGACTCCACTGCTGACCTAAAGAAACAGACAATTATGCCCCGACCTCTTGATAATAATTATAAAATAATAAGTAAAGAAACAGAACAATAGAAGAAATTTCCCTTCTTGACTTCTGGGTGGATTTTAGTGTCAGGATCTCCAGTGTTTTTGCTTTATATTGATGAAAAGAATAGTTCCTGAGGCCTTTGGCCAAGAGGTATGGCCAAGTGGTCTCTTTCTAGTGCACCAGAACCAGCTAAACACACCTGCACACCTCCCTTGAGTAGCTTCTCCCCTCAGCCTACTCTTTGGGCAGCAGCCAGGGTTTCTGTGGGACACATCATGGCCTGGAGAGAGGCAGCATTCCCTCCCAGTCTCCACTGTCCAGATGAGGACAGATGACCCAAGAAATATTTATGTTTTCTTCTCAGATTTATTAATTTATTAGTCAAAAGAGGGGAAGGGCTTTGTTTATGATCTTCAGATAAGTTTAAATTCCGACCAAGGAAAGGAAATAGCAATTGGCCCATTATTAACAAGATCAATTTTTGGGGGGGGGTGGTCTATGAGATGTTAAGAATTATTCCGTGGTTTAGAGGTAGGCATAGTGGTAATATACCTAAAAGATCAGGGATCTTCTCTGAAATCTTCTAGTTTCTCTTACTAATTATGGATACCCATTAACGAACTAAACCCCTTTTGGGATAACCCCTGTTTATATCTCTAGCCTGTTCCATGTAAACTTATTTGGGCTTATTTAAAGTTTTGTTTGTTCTACATTACCTCCTCATGAATCACATATGCATGTCTTCTGTATATATTTACTCTCCCTTCTTTTCATGATTTTATAGACTCATCATGTTTTTCCTCAAAGTTCACCTTTCTTGATCAGAAGTTTTCACCTGAGAGGGGAGGGATGTAGAAGACAGGAGAGGAAATTTATCAGAAACTTCTAGGGGAGCTTTTCCAAATACAGTGTGTCTGCTTCCCTTTTCCCTGAGCATATCCAAACTTTGGCTGGGGAAGTTTGTAGTTAAAGAATTTTTACATGTAATTTTAATGATCACCTTTCTCTATTGTGTTGCAACCATTGTTCTGAACTGAAGAGCTCTAATCTTTGTTCTGTCTTCATAATGCACCGTCTTTCATTTCCATGTTAGCTCCTATTTGGCATTCTAATAGAATAAAATTTTCCATCTGTTGTGTAACTGACAGCAGTTTGAGATTACAACAAGTTTGCAATCATAAAAATTAACTTGGTACTTAACTATGGAGCCTGGAGAACTACCAGACCTTTCCTGGTGCAGATCCACCTTCTCCAATAGCTCCTTCTTCACTTGCTTTTCTCTCAGCAGTTTGCTCTGAACAGGTTCCTCTGGTGACTGAAGGTGACAAATCATGGGAGGGGCCAACAGCAGTTCCTCAGAGGGCTTCGTCCTGATGGGTATATCTGACCATCCCCAGCTGGAGATGATCTTTTTTGTAGCCATCCTCTTCTCTTACTTGCTGACCCTGGTTGGGAACTCAACCATCATCCTGCTTTCCCACCTTGATGCCCGGCTCCACACGCCCATGTACTTTTTCCTCAGCAACCTCTCCTCCCTGGACCTTGCCTTTACCACTAGCTCAGTCCCTCAAATGTTAACCAATTTATGGGGACCAGAAAAGACCATCAGCTATGGTGGCTGTGTGACCCAACTGTATGTGTTCCTTTGGTTAGGGGCTACTGAGTGCATTCTGCTTGTGGTGATGGCATTTGACCGTTACATCGCAGTTTGTCGGCCCCTGCACTACACCACCATTATGAATCCTCGGCTCTGCTGGCTGTTGGCTGCTACTGCCTGGCTGGGTGGCTTGGGCAACTCTGTGATCCAGTCAACATTCACTCTGCAGCTCCCATTGTGTGGGCACCGGAGGGTGGACAGCTTCCTCTGTGAGGTGCCTGCCATGATCAAACTGGCCTGTGGAGACACGAGTCTCAATGAGGCTGTGCTCAACGGTGTCTGCACCTTCTTCACTGCAGTCCCACTAAGCATCATCCTGATCTCCTACTGCTACATTGCTCGGGCAGCGCTGAAGATCCGCTCTTCAGAGGGACGGAGAAAGGCATTTAACACGTGCCTCTCCCATCTGGTGGTGGTACTCCTCTTCTATGGCTCAGCTATCTATGGGTATTTGCTTCCGGCTAAGAACAGCAACCAGGACCAGGGCAAGTTCATTTCCCTCTTCTACTCTGTGGTCACGCCCATGGTGAATCCTCTCATCTACACTCTAAGGAACAAGGAAGTGAAGGGGGCACTGAGAAGGCTGCTGAGAAAAGGAAGAGAAGTCGGCTGAGAGAAGAGGAAATACCTTCACTGTTTATCACTTCTTCATCTCCACACACTTTTCTCACTATCTCCTGGCCATGTGAACATGAGGAGTACTAACCCTGGTAAAACCAAGGTGTGGTTCTGACAACTCATGCCTGTCATTCTAACACTTTGGGAGGCTGAGATGGGGGGATTGCTTGAGCCCAGGAGTTCAAGACCAGGGCGAGCAACAACACAAGACCTTGTCTCTACAGAAAAATTAGCTGGGTGTGGTGGTTATGCACATGTAGTCCCAGATACTCAGGAGGCTGAGGCAGGAGGATTGCTTGAGCTCAGGAGTTTGAGGTTGCAGTGAGTTATGATGATGCCACTGCATTCTAGTCCCAGGCAATGGAACAAAACCTTGTCTCAAAAAAAGAAAAAAAAAAGTTACTTTTTGGCTATTTGGGGTCTTTTGTGGTTCCATACAAATTTTAGGGATTGTTTTTCTGTTTCTGTGATGAATGTCATTGGTATTTTGATAGGGATTGCATTAGATCTGTAGATCACTTTGGGCACTATGGACATTTTAATGATATCGATATTTCCAATCCACGAACATGGGATATCTTTGCATTTATTTGTATCATCTTTAATGTCCTTCATCAGTGTTTTATAGTTTTCAGTGTAGAGATCTTTCACCTCTTTGATTAAATTTATTCCTAAGTATTTTAATTTTTTATAGATTTTATAAATGGGATTGGTTTGATTTCTTTTTCAGATAATGTCTATTAGTATATGGTTTGTATGTGTGTGTAATAGGGCCTCATTACTGGGGATATCAAAGGCTAAGGAAAAGTAAAAAAGAAAAAACAATAAAAAGATTAAAAGATAAAAATAAATATTTTTTTAAAATAAATAAATATAGGGTCTCACTATGTTGCCCAAGCTGGAGTGCTGGCTGGCTATCAAAGGCTCAATCATAGCACACTATAGCCTCCAATCCTGGCCTTAAGTACTCCTTCTGATTCAGCCTTCCAAGTAACTGGCACTCCAGTTGTGTGCCACCGTGCTCAGCAGCTACTGACTTTTGTATATTGATTGTGTATTCTGAAGTTTTACTGAATTTTATTTTTATTTTTTTGAGACAGAGTCTTGCTTTGTTGCCCGGGCTAGAGTGCCATGGTGTCAGCCTAGCTCACAGCAACCTCAAACTCCTGGGCTTAAGTGATCCTCCTGCCTCAGCCTTCCGAGTAGCTGAGACTACAGGCATGTGCCGCCATGCCCGGCTAATTTTTTCTATTTTTAGTAGAGATATGGCCTTGCTCTTGCCCAGGCTGGTCTTGAACTCCTGACCTGAAGGGATTCTCCCTCCTCAGCCTCCCAGAGTGCTAGAATTACAGACATGAGCCACCACACCTGGCCTAGCTTTACTGAATTTGTTTATTCTAACAGTTTTTTAGTGGAGTATTTAGGTTTTTCTATATGTAAGATCATGTCATCTGCAAACAGGGACAATTTAACTTCTTCATTTCCAATTTGGATGCCTTTTATTTTTTTCTCTCACCTAAATTCTCTGGCTAGAACATCCAGTACTATGTTAAATAGAAGTGGCAAAAGTGGGCATCCTTGTCTTGTTCCAGATCTTACAGTTCAACTCATCCCCATTTAATATGATGTTACCTGTGAATGTGTCATATATATTATTGTGTTGGGATACATTCCTTCTATACCTAATTTTTTGAGAGTTTTTTTTTATCATGAAAGGATGTTGAATTTTGTCAAATGCTTTTTCTGCATCTATTAAATGATCATATGGTTTTTGTCCTTCATTCTGTTAGTGTGATATATCACTTTTATCAATTTTATATATTGAATCACCCTTGCATCCCTGACATGAAGTCTGCTTGATCATGGTAAATGATCTTTTTGTTAATGTACTGTTGAATTGGTTTGCTAGTGTTTTTTTGTTTTGTTTTGTTTTTGTTTGAGGGTGGTAGTAGTCTTTTATTTGGGACAGTCACCTCTGACTAAATCTAGCCTAAGAACAACTACTTCCTTAATCAGACCAAGTTCTTTATCTTTATCTTGTTGCAATCACAGTTATACTCATGTTTCACCCTCTCATTTACAGCCTGATGAACAAGGCCCTTAAGCGTGCACTGAAGAAGTTTCTAGGTGGCTCAGAAGACACCCAACTAGGGCTACCAAGAAACACTGCTCTTCCCTTGCTTTTTCCCAAACTCAGGCTCCTCCCCCACCCCACCCCCTCCTATTAGTGTAGTCATCTACTACTTTGCCTTTGAATAGGAAAGCTGCAAGATACCTCAGAAAGTTCGTGACACTGGGAATGAAGAGACTTCAGTATTTGGGTGCACTATGCAACTAATTAGCTATGGTAGTCAGTGGCTCTCTATAGCACTCTGTCTCATCGTCTGTAAAATGACTATAATGGCTCGCAGGAATGTTGTAAGGGTCAAAATAGATAATGCATTTGATAAATTTGTGTGCTTATAAAACTGCCCTGTTATTATACCTAATCAAAGAAGGAGTACTTTCCCAAGAAACGTTAATAATCTATTTCACATCCCACCTCCCTCTACATCCTGATGGATTAGTACCCTTTTTTTGTGTTACCAGCGGCTTCCTAAATGATGGCTGGATGAAGGGGCCAGACTGAAGGCAGAAAGAAAGACCATGAACAAGCCTTAGTTATTATCCCCTACTCATCTTTCTCTCACATTCCACATCTCAATTCACCAGCTCCCTGTTCAAAACATATCAAGTATATATAATTTAGAATAACACACATGTGAAAATTTGGGGAGTATCTGAATGCCCATCAAAAGGGAAATGATTGAATATATATTGTGGTACATGCCTAAATGCATCGCTATTTTTTTTTAATGAGGTAGATACATTGAAACAGAAAAACTTAAAAGATATAGTAAGTGCAGAAAATCATATATTAAAGTCCAGAAAGATACACAATATTAAGTTATTTTCTCTAAGGAGGGATTGTAGTTAAGGAGGTAAGGTACGAAAACACTTCGTTTTTAAGTGAGAACGTTTTGTGGTTCTTCAGTAATATTTAAAAATAAAAACAACCTGGAGAAAAAACACTGGGTTAGAAATGAGTTCTAGTCCAACTTCTATCATTAGAAATTCACTTAAACTGTGTCGGTTTTCTTATCTGGAAGGTAAAAATAGTAACAGTACTGACTTCATAGGATTGTTGTGAAGATGCTAATATGTAAATGTTTAGAATTATGCCTACCACGCAGCAAACGCTATGTTTTCTACCATGGTTGTCGTCATCTCATCTGCAAAACTAGGATGCGTACCCAGCCACAGCTGGTGCAAGGACCGCGAACACGAACAAAGTGGAAACACCACGCAGGCAGAGCATCGGTAAGACAAATGGGCGGGATTAACAAACGCCAGATCCTGGGCCCCGGGTTCTCGGACATTGTGATTGGTCTCAGCACATGACGCAGGCGTATCCTGTCTTCTCATTGGCGAGAACTGCTGTCAATTAGTGAAGAGGGGAAACCAGGTGTCAAGGTCGGTCCTTTAGTGCTGCGCTTGTCTGACGCCACTCTTTTAGGATTAGCGTTTGCGCATGCGTCTGACCCTCAAAGTCCCGGCGTGCCCCGCGGCAGGTTGCAGCATGGCGCGGTAGAAAAGATGGCGTAGCTGGTGAGTCGCGAGTGAGGTTTTTCCTGGCGGGGCGGGGCTCAAGGGCTGCGGCTCCGCCCTCTGCCCTGCCGCTTTTGGCTCGCGTCGGAAGTTCCGGGACGCAAAACCTTGGAGTGGCGGTGTGACTCAGAGTGAACTGGGTCCTCTGTCTGGAGAGCCGTGGGAGCGAGGCCGCGCGGCGTGCCCGCCCCGTGCCTTTGGGGCTCCGGTCTGTTCATGTTCCCCGGTGAAGACTCCTTTGAAGGGCTCAGTGCCTCTGGCTCTTGCGGTTTGCGCGAATAAAACATATGTTCACTAAGGCCCCGTTGCGCCCTTGGGCTGAGCGGTGGGGACTCGAAGACCACACAGCTCCCAAACTGATGGAGTAGATAACCCCACCCGAAACAAATTCTAGTATTGGAAGGGTTAAGATGAACCACCCTGAGAGACAGTTACAGACAGGTCCGAGGAGTTCAAAGGATCAAGAGGCTTAAAGAAGATGGTGGTAGTGGTGTTACCAGTCCCTATCCTTGGGTTTCTTGTCTTTAGTGGTGCACTCTTTAAGAACACTGAGTTTCTCTTTTACTTTTCTAATGCCTAGGCTCAGGTGGCCCTGCTTCCCTGGTTGGCAGTGGAGACCGGCAGTCCCTTGTGTTCATTGTCTGTGGAAAGAATATTTCAGGTAGGAAAAGTTTGGTGGGCAAAGGCACTTGTAGGTCCCTAGACCACTGGTTCTCTTCCAGGTGCGATTTTGCCCCCCAGAGGACATTTGGCAATGTTTGAAGACAATTTTGTTGTCACACCTGAGGGGTGCTCCTGCCATCTAGTGGGTGGAGGCCAGGGATGCAGCTAAACATCCTACCAGACAAAGGATGGCTGTCACTCCCCCCGCCCCTCCAAGAACTCAAAAGATCTGGCCCAGAACGTCAGTAGTGCTGAGGTTTAGAAAGCCCACCCCTGCCCTTTCTAGGTAGGGGAAGTCGTAGTGATAGTAGTGGAAATGGAGAAGGGACAGATGTCTGAGGTATCTCAGCCAGAGACCAGTTTTGTCTCCTTTTGTATTCTTTATAATGCTTAAGTATTTGATACCCACTTGAGTCATCAGGTTTGATGACCCCAGTCTGCCTCTTATTTTTTCACCCATTCATTCATTTTCCAAATATTTATTTAGCACCAGACACGATTCAAGGTGCTAAGATTCAGCAAGGAGCAAAACAAGTCTCTGCTCTCAGGAACCTTACATTCTTGCAGGAGATGACAGATACTAAACCCATAAATATATGTCAAGTAGTTACATATACGGTGAAGACGTTCCCATAACATGGAGTTTCTTTTACTACCACCACATAGCATTCATTTACTTAGTGCCTTCAAATGCCAGGCACTGGGCTAGGTGCTTTGCACACACTGTTTCTAATCTTTTCCTCTATCTTGCAAGGTGGATATTACTATCCTCAGATGAGAGAGAAAAAGCTCAGAGGAGTTGAATAATTTGCCCCAAATCAGTTAGTATGGAGTTGAGCTGGGACTCAACCCAGATTTACCTGATGGACAAAGTCTGTACTATTTCCATTAGTTAACTTTGTGTCTCCTCTACCAGGTTAATTTGAGTGGGATGAGAAATATATACCTTCTTTCCTAGATCTAGGAAAGTGAAATAGAAATGAACTCTCACATTGACCTCTTGCTCTTACCAGAGTGGCGTTGTTATCAGAGACTCCTAGCCAGAGGTGACTCTTCAGAGTTGTAGGAACTGAATTTTGAGCCACAGATCAGCCTCAGTTGGAGTTGAATTCCTCTTCACTCCTCACATTCTTTCAGACAGCTGATGGCTAATCTCTCAGAGGGGTTGGCAATTTGGAAATCTCCCGCCAGCCCTTCTGTCTTCTAATTATCAAACAAGTGTTTGGGCCTTACAAGGCCTTTGGCCAGCTCTGGGAGCTCTGCTGTTGATGGCTGCAGCCCAAGCTGCACTCAAGGAGAAGACCCTGCAGCTGAAACAATTCCTGACTATTCTGTATAGGGAGATGCATACCTGGGTGAGGGAATGTCATCTAGCAGGCAGTGAGAAGGCAATGACTTTGGTGCAGGATTTGGAGTGAGAACCCGGGAGGCCAAGGTAATTGGTGAGAAGGGGAATATGTAAATAGAAAATGGAGATCTGGTTGTGGGGAGGTCTAGGTTAGGGTACAGGCAGCTGAACAAGGTGGAGAAACTTGATTTTGTGGCTGCTGCTGCTGCTTAAACACTTGTTTATATTCCTAGTTAGTGTCTGTTTCGGCTTTCTTAAGGGAACAGACTTTCTTTCCCCTTTGCAGGAAGAGGGTGTGAGGAGAGCAAGGTTGGATGCCTTTACTGAGCACCAAGTTTTCAGTAGTTCTCTGCTTCCCAAGAAAGAAGGAGGAGAGATATTTGTCCCCTGTAGAACATAGCCTTTCTCTTCTGCAGGTTATATTCACATGAGCCAGCTCTTTGAATGAAAATCTTCTGGTTCGTGAAACACCTGCTCTGTTATGGAGGAATTGCAGTGCCCAGCAAGGTATGGGTACTTGAGTTAAGTCTTCAGTGTCTGAGTCACACCTCTTCTCAAAACAGATGAATACAACTGGATTTCTGATCAAGAGAGGGCCAAAGCGGGACCCGTGGGGGGCTAGGAGCTGTGTTATCAGGTATAAGAGTGCCACAAGGGCTCAGGTGGGGACAGCCATAGACCTCCCTGCACTGCCCTGAGCAAATAGGATTCTGATATGCTCTGTGCCCCTGCCAGCTGTGGTGCTGGGACCCTGACTCCTCTTATAATCCTACTCTGTCCAGCTGCACATACCTACTCCTCATTCAAGTTTCTATCTCTGGCTTTCTAGGAGTCTCTATTCCCATACCTCTTCTCTCTGGGCCCATATGGTGATCTGTAGGGCGATGGGTTTTTTTTTTCCATGTGATAGTGTGTGTGCTCCAAGAGTAGCAACCCTGAGATTATGGGGGAGTTGCCAAGCTCCTGTTGGAGCCAGTGAGGCCCCATCCTCAGGGACTTTCCCAAGAGAAGAGCTACAACTCATATGCAGGACCATTCAGACCAGGGGGAGAGAAACCAATGACTTCAAAATGGTGAGCCACAGAGTCTCAGGCTAAAAAGGGGAGAAGAAGAAAGAGTCCAAGGATGAGAGTTTGTCAGTGCCTGTGACATCACAGATATGACCTAACAGTGGTGTCATGAACAGAATTGGGAGCGGTAAGCAGGTAAAATGATGGTGCACCTGCCAGGTTGGGGCAGCTCAGTTCTTTATCTGTGCATTGTCATTTCCTCTGGTTATCCCTTCAGAAAGGCTCATTCCATGATAGCTCTTAGAAGAGTCATGTCTTAGTGTTTTGAACAAAACTCTTCAAGTTTCCCTATTAACTTAGCAGGTAGCTTCTGTCATCAACAGTCACCAGAAACCCAGACAGACAAGCACCAGTAGGGGGTCCACCTGCATGGATTCCTCCATAGTAGTCTCACTATTGGAGGTCAGATCACCAGCATGGCTTCAATAACACAACCACAGCCAGGTGCGGTGGCCCAAGCCTGTAATCTTAGCACTCTGGAAGGCCGAGGCGGGCAGATCGTTTGAGCTCAGGAGTTCAAGACTAGCCCGAGCAAGAGTGAGACCCCATCTCTACTAAAAATAGAAAGAAATTAATTGGCCAACTAAAAATATATAGAAAAAATTAGCCGGGCATGGTGGCACATGCCTGTAGTCCCAGCTACTTGAGAGACTGAGGCAGGAGGATCGCTTGAGCCCAGGAGTTTGAGGTTGCTGTGAGGCCGAGGCGGGCAGATCGTTTGAGCTCAGGAGTTCAAGACCAGCCCGAGCAAGAGTGAGACCCCATCTCTACTAAAAATAGAAAGAAATTAATTGGCCAACTAAAAATATATAGAAAAAATTAGCCGGGCATGGTGGCACATGCCTGTAGTCCCAGCTACTTGAGAGACTGAGGCAGGAGGATCGCTTGAGCCCAGGAGTTTGAGGTTGCTGTGAGCTAGGCTGACACCATGGCACTCTAGCCCGGGCAACAAGAGTGAGACTCTGTCTAAAAAAAAAAACCAAAAAACAGAAATTAAAAAAAAAAGAAATTAGCTGGACAACTAAAATATAATATATATATATATATATATATGTGTATATATATAAAATTCGCTGGGCATGGTGGCGCATGCCTGTAGCCCCAGCTACTGGGGAGGCTGAGGCAGGAGGATTGCTTGAGCCCAGGAGTTTGAGGTTGCTGTGAGCTAGGCTGATGCCACAGCACTCACCCGGGCAACAGAGTGAGACTCTGTCTCAAAAACAAAACACAATGTGAAGAGTTTTTATTACTTATGAGTTCCTTAAGGTAGGCAGAGTGACCAGAGAAGGGCAGACAGCAGTCCTCCACCCCAGGTCTCATGTGGTGACAGCAACCACACTCTCACAGGAGAGGACTTCTCCTATTTAAGGGTCATTTGGGGTAGGGTGTCCTAATTTCATGGGGTTACTTTCTGTTGGGTATTTCAAACAACTCTGGTGACAAGGACAGTTGAGGGGGTTGGCCTTAACCTGGGATTAAAGCAGGGCTCTACAGAGGGACTTTTTGTCTGTCTTAGTCAGACTTGGCCAGACCTAGGCAGCCATCACCTATGGTTTCTTCATTACTTCTAAAACACTTGAGCATTCATGGCGACCTACTGGCACCCAAGGAAGAGAACCAGATTTTAGTTTAGACTGATAAGCAAGTTTTCTGAACAGGCTAATGGAAGCTATGTCAGCCTGGACAGGGTGAGCCTGAACCAGAAGATACTACCAGAGGGACAGAAGATCCCATTTGGACATGTCAAGTGGCTTGGCAATTCAGAAAGAATGAAAATGCAGCAGGAATGGTCCGGAGCCCAGGTTATCTAGCACAGGCTAAGAAGGCAAGAAGAGAGGGCAAGGGAGGGTGTGGATGAATGGATGATTCGTCATTCCATAATTCTAGATTCTCTCACTTAGCCAAGGCTTCTAAAAATTAAATGAGAATAAAAGTTATTTCGGGAGCTTGTTACAAATTCAAATCATTGGGATCTATCTTCTTCTGAGATTGTGTGTGTATGGGGGCAGCCCAGGTTTTATGCAACCAATACCCAAGGTTATACTCACACAAGTTGTCCATGGGCCACGCTTGAGCCACACTGCCATTTCCTCACTCTCACAGCTTTAAATACCATTATACAGATGATTTTCCTATTTCTATCTCTAGATCTCTCATTTGAGCCACAGATGTATAAATCCTTTGGCTTACTTTACCTCACCATTTGAACTTCTCATACATATCTCAAACTCCACATATCCAAGACCGAACCTGTGAATTGCTTACCATATCTGCTGCCTTACCTGCCATTGCCATCTCGGTAAATGGCATCTCCTTCCACCTCTTGGCACCTTCTTCAAACCAAAGAAACCTGTTCATCCTTGATATCCCCTCTGCCTCACCTCCATAACTAGTCTATCACCACAACATGTTGATTATACTTCCAAAATGTACAAACTCCATCCACTTTTTTCTGTATACACTGCTGTCACTTGACTAGACAACTGAGTTTCTAGCCATCACAGTTAAGAGAGTCTTACTTGGTCTCCTTGCTTCCTCTTTCAGCTCTAATCGATTCTCCACACAGCAGTCAGATTAAGAGAATAATGTCACTCCCTGCTTAATCATCCAGGAGCTTCCCATTACACTTAGGATAAAATCTAAAATTCTTAGCATAGCATGTAATAATGAAGTCCAGTCAGGAAAACAGAAACCATTCTAGGCATTTCAAAGAGAGAATTTAATACAATGAATTTGTAAGATGGGTGTGGTAGAACAACAACAATAAAAAAGTGAAAGGGAACACTACAGCCACAGAGACAGTATGGGAAACATACTGCCATGTGGGGTTGGGGGAACACAGGGAAAGGTTCGGTTTACCAGACTGGGAAGCTTGGAAAAGAGGCTGTACAGAGCTGACTTGTGGGGGGCGTTGGCTAGGCAGTGTTGCCTGCCTGCTGCTAGTACCTATGAGGGAGGGCCAATGAGGCTGGTTCTGGAAGATGCAGTATCTACCTTGTCTACTGTGTTGTATTTGGCCCCAATATCTGGTATATTATAGGTAAGCAAATATTTCCTGAATAAATTAATGTATTCTCCAGTTCTTACGGGTCTACTCCAGATCATCTGGAATGGTTGACAGGCAAGGGTTAGGGATTGTAGTACGTGTGGTGTTTCTTTTTCTGCCCATCAGACTAGAGAATAATGTAGCTTGGAGGGTGAAGGCAACCTAAATGTGCAAAGAGTACAACAGTTCCATCTCAATTTCCCTGATCACAGTAGGCCCAGGAATGGGAGGAGCCTACTAATAAGGCATCATAAACTATCTCCACTTCCTTATCTCTTCTAATTACTTTCACTGGCTCTCCTCATTTATCTAACTAACTTCTCTGAGCTGATACCCAAAGCCCTTCAGTAACTGATCCACTCCTGGGCTGTCTCCTTCTTTCCCACACGAATCACCAATAAAGTCATGCTGTCCCTAACAGGTCTCATTCCAGCTGATCTCTTTGCCTTTGCCCAGGCCCTTCCAAGATGGCTTTTTCTGTGTTGAGCAGGGGCTATTAACTTTATGACTCTAGGAACTGCCCTGCATAGCTTCCCCTTAGGGCCATGTTGAAGGACAGTGGCAGGGAAACATAGTGGCCCAGGCCAGGCTCAACCTGAGGAAACACTTAAGTATATTGTTCTACCTTTGCTTCTCTTTATCCTTCAATTTTAATTTTTTCTGGCTTTGAGGTAGAATGTACATTCTCCTTTGCTCATGTTTAATTCTTCAAAAAGGGTCAAGCAGAGCCATGATGCTTGCTTACCACCATAGCTTAGGCAAGGTCCTATAACTTTGCATATACAAGCCAACAACTGTAGACAATGTACCCACCTTTCACCACTTTTAATCTATGGCAATTTCATAAAAGCTTAAATATCTGTGACTTGTTCTGGATCATTAAGTTTTAGGTTTGGTTCTTAGTGTTCCTCACACCCATCCATCCTGTAACCTACTATTGTCTTTGCAGTCAGATCCTCCTATAGTACCTGTTTTTTCCTTATTCCTATGATATTCCTTCTCATAATGGCTCAAACCCTTTCCAACTTAATTCTTTTCCTCCTCTCCCCATTTCCTGCCCCTTATTCTGTCTCTGCATGTCCTACTGCCCTGAAACACTCTACACTTAGATCATCTTGAGGACCCTGCAGGCTTCTACATAAGTATAAAGCAGGAGTCCTCAAACTACGGACCGCCGAGGACATTTATCCGGCCTGCCGGGTGTTTTTGCCGCCGCTGCCTGTCCTGCTTAGCAGCCCACTCATCCCGGGCCCACAGTGCGCATATGTGGAATGTGTACCGCACTCTCCAATGGCCCTCCAATAGTCCGAGGGAGAGTGAGCTGGCCCCTTGTTTAAAAAGTTTGAGGACCCCTAGATAAAGTTTCTACTGAGCCGTGTGCAGTGCTTCACACCTGTAATCCTAGCACCTCGGGAGGGTGAGGTAGGAGCATCACTTGAGCTCAGGAGTTCGAGACCAACCTGAGCAAGAGCAAGACCAAGACCCTGTCTCTACTAAAAATAGAAAAATAAGACAGGTATTGTGGCACACACCTGTAGTACCAGCTACTCAGGAGGCTAAGACAGGAGGATCACTTGAGCCCAGGAGTTTGCAGTGAGCTATGATGATGCCACTATACTCTACCCAGGGCAACAGAGGAAGACTCCATCTCAAAAAAAAAAAAAAAGTAAAGTTTCTATTCAAGAAAATTATAACCAAAGGCCAAGGAAGTGGAGGTAGAAACACCTTTATTTTTATCAGAAATAGTAATGTGTAGAAACCATTTACTGTAAGAGACAATCAGGAACTAAGGTATGGGTGACAGTAAAGTGACATCTTACAAAGATTAACCTAGATGTTATGCTTGCTGTAAACAATGTTTGGAACAGGGAGACCTTGGTTTTGTTGGCAGAATTTATGGATTCTACAGCTTTCTCCCCATCAGAGCAAACTTTAAGTCACAGTAAGACAGGACTCTGAAGTCACAGACAGAGCCAGAAGAAGTCAGCATCCTTATGCCAATTCCTGTTCCTGGACATGGTTCTTAAGATCCAGTTGTCAGTAAGTTTACTTACTAAGCCAGAGATGGGCCAGATCTCTCCACAAGCAGAAGGAAGTTCTAAGGAATACACACTGACCTAAGGAGTTGATTTCTCAGGTTTTCTACCTACTTATAACACACCTCTCCCTTCCTATAATGAGAGTTATCTTTTATGTGTACTGCCTGATGGCGGGTGAGGGCAGAGTTCTTAATAAAGCTTTTCTCACACCGAGAACACTTATAAGGCTTTTCCCTAGTGTGGGTTTTCTGGTGGGCACTGAAGTGGGAGCTGTTGTTGAAGCTTTTCCCACACTCTGCACACCTGTAGGGGCTCTCCCCGGTGTGGATGCGCCGGTGGGTGCTGAATTGGGAACTGTTGTTGAATCTCTTTCCACAAACAATGCACTGATAAGGCTTCTCCCCTGTGTGGGTCCTCTGGTGCACAATGAGGCTGGAGCTCTGGTTGAAGCTTTTCCCACACTGTCCACACTGGTAGGGCCTCTCCCCTGTGTGAGTTCGTAGGTGGGCAGTGAGGTTGGAACGCTCACTAAAGCCTTTCCCGCATTCACTGCACTTGTGCGGCTTCTCGCCTGTGTGGATTCTCTGATGCCGAACCAGATAAGAACCTCGGCTAAAGGTTTTTCCGCATTCAGAACACTGAGAAGTTTTTTCCGATTCAGGGGCTGGCTTGTGGGGAAATAGCACACTCTGAGAGCAGTTTTTCCCACAGAGGAAATGTGTACAGGATTTGTCTCCAGTATAAAGTCTCTGGTGACTCGTTTTGTCCTGGGATGGGGATTTTTCCTCACTCTCCACTGGAGAATTTCTATATTGCCTTCCTGACACTGGCTTACTCTTCCAGCCTTTTTTTAGCTCAGAGTGCCAAAAATCTTCTCCACTAGACTTTATGTGTAAAGCCTTGTTCATTTCTACTTCTTCTGAAGTAGAAATCCATTTCAGATTTTCTTTTTTAATCCCATTCCTGCTCTCAAAACCTGAAGAAAAAAAAAAGAAAAAAGAAATAAAATGGACTATAGAGAAGGCAAACAATGGAATGCAAAAAGAGTTACAACTGTACTACAAAGAAGAAATACACAATTGGAATTCTTCTTGGGATTAAGTCTCCTGCTAATTAAAAGCCTAAGTTTTATTTTCCAATTGTAATATTTTTGAGCTCCAAATTCTGTGGTCACAGGCAAATCACACCCTAAATAAACTGCACCGACTTTTCTCCTATGTCTTTTTTTTTTTTTTTTTTTTTGAGACAGAGTCTCACTCTGTTGTCAGGGCTAGAGTGCTGTGGCGTCAGCCTAGCTCACAGCAGCCTCAAACTCCTGGGCTCAAGTGATCCTCCTGCCTCAGCCTCCTGAATAGCTGGGACTACAGGCATGCGCCACCATGCTCGGTTAATTTTTTCTTTATATTTTTAGTTGGCCAATTAATTTCTTCCTATTTTTAGTAGAAACGGGGTCTCATTCTTGCTTAGGCTGGTTTCAAACTCCTGACCTTGAGCGATCCACCAGCCTCAGCCTCCCAGAGTGCTAGGATTACAGGCGTGAGCCACCACGCCCTGCCTCTCCTATGTCTTTATGGATGTTCCGACACAATGACAAACTGAGGCAAAGGGTCAAACTCTGTGTCATCTACCAATCTATTCATAGGTGTACTCTCCATTCTTGAATGGCCTAACTTCTGGCAGCAAAACAAGAAAAGGCCACCGTGGGTTGGCCAGCTTAAATAGGAGGAAAGCAAGGTGCTAAGGACCTGGCCAGGATAGGTTCAGATTATTAAAGGAGCCGGCATACTAGAGAAGGATCAAGGAGGAGGAACCTAGTCTGGAGACCTAACTAGCAATCTAAGGAAGTAAAGTATTGGAACTCCATGGTAAAAGATGACAAAGAGGTTGGCAAATACAAAATCAAGGCTCTAAAATCCAAGGGGAATAATCCTTAAGCACCCTGAAAACCAAGACTCCTGGCCTGTATAAGGTCACACATGATGACAAAGCCAGCGGTGATGACAGTTCTCTCTTGACTGCTAGGCTAATGGCCTCTAGGTGGACTTTCCCATCCTTTGACCGTCAGAGCCAACAGAGTCTTACCAAGTCTGTCAGGGAACAGGGCTGGCAGGTCAAGTTTTCTGACTTCCTGGCCAGGGTTCCTGAAGTCTTTGTCATCCCTGTCTGTACCATCCACAGTGCCGTCTTTGACAACCTCTGCAGACTCCCTGTTCTGCCGATGCAGCTCTCCAGCCTCGATGACACTTCCCTCTAGGCCAGGAACAGCATCACTTGCCAAAGGAGGTGCAGAGGCCCAGGAGCTTGAAAAAGCATCCACTTCCTCATAAAAGATACAAGGCTTAGGCGCGCAGCCTTGCCTCAGTTTTCGGTAACTCAACTATAGGCTTCTGAACTTGCTGCGACACTGCTCTGGGGTCCAAAGGAAGCCCTGCTCCCAGAGTCTTTCCACCATGGCCCTGTAGATCTGGCTGTTCCACTGATGGGTCTGGAGTTTTCCGTAAAATTGAGAACTAAGAATGGACAGGAGTGTACTGGTCTCTTCATAGCCCCAGTGCACACCTGCTTGCCAGGGGACAGAGAACAGATCAATGAGATCTGACAATCAGATCAGGGAGGACTATATGTATTGCAGTGCAGGGTTTTAGCAGCCTAGGAAGTTACATCCTAGTTTGCTTTTTGGGTTTTTTTTTGAGACAGGGTCTCACTTTGTTGTCCAGGCTAGAGTGAGTGCCGTGGTGTCAGCCTAGCTCACAGCAACCTCAAACTCCTGGGCTCAAGCAATCCTACTGCCTCAGCTTCCCGAGTAGCTGGGACTACAGGCATGTGCCACCATGCCCAGCTAATTTTTTCTATATATATTAGTTGGCCAATTAATTTCTTTCTATTTATAGTAGAGACGGGGTCTCGCTCTTGCTCAGGCTGGTTTTGAACTCCTGATCTCGAGCAATCTGCCCGCCTCGGCCTCCCAGAGTGCTAGGATTACAGGCGTGAGCCACCGCGCTTGGCCAACATCCTAGTTTCTTAAACTCTGCCACAACTGGCTACTGCTGTTCCTGGGAAGAAATCTCACTATGGCCTTTTTCCCTAACACATAAAAACTTGCTTGGGAAAGCAGGTGTGAGTCTGTGCCCATCTGACAGACCTAGCTGAGCTCCTAGCTGGTGGCCACCATCACGTGCCAGCCAGGTGATGAGGCCCTTCTGGATCTTCCAACTTCAACATCAAGAAGTAGAACCACCCGGTCAACCCACAGAATGATGAGAAATAGTTTTCTTAAACCACCAAGTTTTGGAGTGGTTTGTTTTGCAGCAATAAGCAACTGAAACATGGTTATGATGCTGGTTACTGATGGCAGTAACTTGTGTATGTTCTGAGGAATATACTCACCCTGGACACAGATCAATTTGCAGCTCTAGTGGAACCTGATTCCTAATGATAAGCTTTTGAAATTACACAGGTACCTGTCCGTGGCATCACTCACCTTCCATAGAGAATACAACATTCATTCCTAGGCTAACATTATCATCATTCTTTTTTTTTTTTGAGACAGAGTCTCGCTGTGTTGCCCAGGCTAGAGTGAGTGCCGTGGTGTCAGCCTAGCTCACAGCAACCTCAAACTCCTAGGCTCAAGTGATCCTTCTGCCTCAGCCTCCCGAGTAGCTGGGACTATAGGCATGCACCACTATGCCCGGCTAATTTTTTCTATATATTTTTAGTTGGCCAATTAATTTCTTTCTATTTTTAGTAGAGATGGGGTCTCGCTCTTGCTCAGGCTGGTTTTGAACTCCTGACCTGGAGCGATCCGCCCGCCTCGGCCTCCCAGAGTGCTAGGATTACAGGCGTGAGCCACCTCGCCCGGCCTCATCATTCTTTTATGTTAACAAAATCTGGATATAGCACCTCCTCAGACAATTTGCTACTTTGGTGACAGAAACATACCTGGCTTTCAAATTTCATACTGAAAAGAATATTAGGTTGACCCAGACAACCTAAAAATGTAGGTACTACTTTTCCTTGTATGTAACCTACATGGCAAAATGAACAGCTTTTATCCCAACGATAGCCCCCACCGTAAGGGACAGGAACCCCCAGGAACAGGAACCAGCACCAGTTTTATAGCTGGAAGAAAGCTCTGTGGGGGCGTGGTTCAGAAACAAGCAATCAGCACAAGGACACAGATGCAGAGAGGTCCTCACCCAAGTGGCTCTGGAGTAGGCTGTAGCTGTGGGGGCTCCCAGTTGCCTGGACTGGCTGCTTGCAGTTGGTTTTGCAGCTGTTTGAGTCCTCTACTGTGTCCCCATCCTCCACCTCTTTCTGAGCCTGTGGGCCCTGGCCTGGCCCTTTGGCCTCAACAGCCCTGTCTGCCAAGCTCCTGGGAGAACTGGTGGGCCCCTGTGAGGCCAGCAGAGCTTCTATCTCCTCTTGGAAGGCACAGGGCTCTGGGCTGCAGCCTTGCCTCCCTGGGTGGTAACTGGCCTGGAGGCTTCTGAACTTGGTTTGACACTGCTCCAGAGTCCGGTGGAAACCTTGTTCACACAAGAGCTCAGCAACTTTGCCATACAGCTGGCCGCAGTGTTGGTGCATCTGGAGTTTTTCATAAAACTGAGACTCACTGAGAATAGAAAGGAAAGTCCTAGTTTCTTCAGAAGCCCAGTGTACACCTGTCACTTTCTCATTTGCTGAGTCCAGCTGTTTTGCATCACCCCTGATTTCTTCTTCCCCCTTTGCTGATTTCTCTTGGGCTTCCACTCCAGTCTCACTTGTGGAACTCTCAGACCTTTTCCTCGCCCTGCAGCCATGAAAATCTGTTGTCCCTGCATGTTCTCTTTGATCCAGCCCAGAGCCAACATTCGGACTGTGAATGGGAAACCCTGCATGTGGAGAAGCAGAGAGGAGACATCAAGGCTCAGCAAGCTGCAGAGCACCTGTCTCTGATCTGGGTGGCTGCTCTGAGGACACGGCATTTGGCCTATATGGGGCAGAATGATCTGAGAAAGGCAAGAGAGCAGATAGACCTTCCCCAAGTGTCCTCAGACTCTAGGAAAGGGCTTGGTTCCCCTAGAATGGCCTGGGCATAGAAGTAGACCATAGCAGCCAGGGTGTTTTGTTTTTAATCTCCTCTGCCACTGCAGAAACTCGGGAGCTACTGCAGCTACCTGTGTGTGTGAGCAAACCCTCACCATTCCTCTCCCCATCTGGCCACTGCCTGTCTGGCTCCTGCTTGTCTCTGTCTTGCCCTCGTACTTGCTTTTCCCCCCTCTCTTATCCTTCATGTCCTCACACTCTGTCCCGCTGCTTTTGGTCTCACACTCTTTCCCTTGCTCTTGCTCGCCTTGTCACACACGCTGCTGTCCCTGTCACAAGGCCTGACTCCCATGCTGCCTCTTTGTTTCAGTCTCTGCCTCTGTCTATCTTGCCTGCTCTGGCTTCCATTTATTTTCTCCTTTCCTTCTACCTAAGAGTCTCCCCACTCCCTCTGTCTCCCTCTCTCCTGGATTCTTTCAGTATCTCTGAACAACTGAACACATCCATCTGGACCTAGAGGGAAGGTGGATCCTTACCCAGCGACACACGTCTGTCGTCCTGTGCAGCACCCCTGTGGAGCACCCTCTGTGCAGGGCCAACGCACACCCAGTCTTGCTGACAGGGAGATATGGCTCTGTCCTTACACGTGGCCAGTCCCTGTAACAAGACCAGGGCTGCTGCTACAGCTAAAATGGCACCGCTCTAGCCTGGGGTAGGGGCAGAGACAGGACCACAGTCATCAGATCAGGGGCAAAGCAAAGGCAGGGGGAGATCAGCCCTCCGTGGGAAGGATCAGGATGGGTAAAGAGCCATGTGATAATGTCAGAGTGGCCAGAATACCCGAGAAGCTCAATGGACTACATAAAATCTTTATGTCTTTGGAAAAGAAGGGGTTTTAGTGTGAGAGTGAGTGCTAAGGTGAAGTGGGAACTTCAAAAGAAACAGAAGGCATCAACCACAGCTCACCTGGGACCCAGCTATCCAGACCATGGTACCTGTCTCCTGGGCTTGGAGACCCATCTTTTGGGGCAGATTCCTAGGAACTTGAGGAGCGAGCCAAGCTGGGGAAGAAAATAGCCACTGTTAGAGGGAAACTTCCACATAACAGCCACAGAAAAGAGGTTCTCAAAGTGGGCTCCCTGGGCCAGCTACATCAGCAGCACCTGGGAACCTGTCAGAAATGCAAATTCTGGGGCCTCACCTCAGATCCTCTGAATCAGCAGCTCTACAGGTAGGGCCTGGGAAGCTGTGCTTTAACATGCCCTCTAGATGAATCCAAGGCACACTCAAGTTTGAGAACCACTGCCATATCCAACGGCCTCTACGTGTTGAGAAGTTCCTTTCACTAGATTCCTCTTGGCATAACAGCTTTGAAATTTTTTTTCATTTTAGAGAAATATGTACATGTTAGAGGCAAAACAATTAAATACAATAATAGAGGGGAGAAAAATCTCTCCATAGCCCCACCACCCAGAGATAAGCATAGTACTCTTAAAAATACCATAGTAACTGAAAACTTTTATATTTTTCAGACCAAGATAATATATTCTTTCCCAACCCCCCACTTTTAATGATACATTTTTATGCCTTATTAATTGAACTTCAGCATAAACTCAGAAGTCTGTGGCTCCTGGGGAGGTTATAACACTCCAGACCCGTGAGCGGCCTGTGGGTGTGGGAAGCAGAGCACGCACGGCGAGGCCTGCTTCCCTTCACCCACAGAGCCCACTAGCCCCGAGCCTCAGAAATCACACGCCAGAGAGCACAGGGGTTCCTGATGATTAAAAGGAAATAAACATTAAATGGCAAAGTTTAGAAAAATATTGATAAGAGTATTTATTTTGCTTAAAGAATACTAACACAAATAAACCTCTCAGACAATTTTCCATATTATAAACACAAGTTTGTCAACTTAACATCAAGGCAATGTTTTCCTCTAGGATTAGAATTACATAAAGGTGAGCTGGGTTTAAAAATTACCTTGCAACCTGTAATGGCACCTTTCCATTAAGCAGAAAAGGTAGCAATGGGCCTTAAGGCTGTCTAGACTATATCTAGCCAAATTGCTTCACGGAAAAAGACTTGGAAAAATATAGAGCCTGGGCCAGGCGTAGTGGCTGACGCCTATAATCCTAGCACTTTGGGAAGCCAAGGCAGGAGGATTGCTTGAGGCTGGGGGTTCAAGACCAGTCTGAGCAATATAGCAAGACCTCATCTCTACAAAAAAAAAAAAAAAAAAAAGGCTTAGCCCAGTGGCTCACACCTGTAATCCTAGCACTCTGGGAGGCTGAGGTGAGAAGATTGCTCAAGGTCAGGAGTTCGAAACCAGCCTGAGCAAGAGCAAGACCCTATCTCTACTAAAAATAGAAAAAAATTAATTGGCCAACTAAAAATATATAGAAAAAATTAGCCGGGCATGGTGGTACATGCCTGTAGTCCCAGCTACTCGGGAGGCTGAGGCAGAAGGATTGCTTGAACCCAGGAGTTTGAGGTTGCTGTGAGCTAGGCTGAACCACAGCACTATAGCCCAGGCAACAAGAGTGAGACTCTGTCTCAAAAAAAAAAAAAATTAACCAGGCATGGTTATGAGCACCTGTAGTCCCAGCTACTTGGGAGGCTGAGGGAGAGAATCACTTGAACCCAGGAATTTGAGGTTGCAGCGAGCTACGATGACGCCACTGCACTCTAACCCAGGCAATAGAACAAAACCCTGTCTATAAATAAATAAATAAAGACTTGGTGTATCCACACAGTGGAATATTACTCAGCCACAAAAAGGAAGTACTGATAAATGCTTGAAAGAAGTAAAAGAAGCCAGACACAAAAGGTCATATAATGTGCATAATTCCATTGATATGAAGTGTCCAGAACAGGTAGATGTTTAGAGACAAAATGGGAGCAACTGCATAACAGAGACAGTGTTTCACTTTGTGATGATGAAAATGTTTGGAACTAGATAGAGGTAGTTATTGCACAACATTGTGAATGTACCAAATGCCACCTAATTGTTCACTTTAAAATGGTTAATTTTATGTTTTTTGAATTTCACCTCAATTACTGTTTTTATTTTTAAAAGTTTTCTAAAAAAATTAAGACAAGTAAAACAAAAAATAGAGCTTTGGAAGAAAGGTGAAAATGATAGGAGAAATGTATTCTGGAAAAGATTAAGCTGGATGGGGAAGGCAGTTTTATGTCTTCAAGTATAGGAAGAACTGCTATGTAGAAGGTGAGGGTAACATGGTCATTTTTAATAACATCTGGTTCCGAACTAATAGAATGAAATTGTAAGGAAAGAGAATTAGGCTAACACATAAAGAATCCTCATCCCTATTTTAAGTGATATTACCTTCAACTGAAATTTGAAATCTTGCTGTTTGGACATATTTCAAAGGCATTTAATTTGGAACCCTTGAGTGGACTCAAGTTCAGACCTTTGTTTCCAGGTGAGGACAGAGGCTTCTGCTCACCTTCAGACTGTTCCCCTGGACTTTGGTGTGAGCTCTGTAATTCCTTCAGAGTCCGCTCCTCTGGCTGAACCGCCTGTTTCCCTGGGGATCTCAGTGATTCTCTGGCTGCTCCCCAAGGGGCCACCTCCTCCATGAGCACTTTCAAGTCCTTCCCAGAACCTGAGACCTGAGAACAGACCCCATGATCCATCACTACAAATTCCTGCCAAAGCTGGGCTTTACAACTCCTACAATGGGATTTAAAAATTATGCGAAACATAAGGAAGCAGAAAAGAGTATCTAGGAGTCACTATGTTGCTGTTGTAATAAAATAAAAATTAATAGAATTAGGTCTTTGAAGTGGACAAGAACATTTATATGAAATCACCTAGCATGTAGAACCTGACACATCAGAACTGCTAAAACTGGGGTACATTTGTTAGAAGTGAGAACATCAGGCCGGGCGCGGTGGCTCACGCCTGTAATCCTAGCTCTCTGGGAGGCCGAGGCGGGCAGATTGCTAGAGGTCAGGAGTTCAAAACCAGCCTGAGCAAGAGCGAGACCCCCATCTCTACTATAAATAGAAAGAAATTAATTGGCCAACTAATATATCTAGAAAAAAATTAGCCGGACATGGTGGTACATGCCTGTAATCCCAGCTACTCAGGAGGCTGAGGCAGGAGGATCGCTTGAGCCCAGGAGTTTGAGGTTGGTGTGAGTTAGGCTGACGCCATGGCACTCACTCTAGCCTGGGCAACAAAGTCAGACTCTGTCTCAAAAAAAAAAAAAAAAAAAAAAACAGAAGTGAGAACATCATCTTTTACTTTAGAAAGCCCGTGACCTCAACACAAAGCTATTTCCTCTCCCCACAAACCCAATGTCAGTTCTACCTTCAAAAAGATACTGTGGGCCGGGCGCAGTGGCTCACACCTGTAATCCTAGCACTCTGGGAGGCCGAGGCGGGCGGATTGCTCGAGGTCAGGAGTTCAAAACCAGCCTGAGCAAGAGTGAGACCCCGTCTCTACTATAAATAGAAAGAAATTAATTGGCCAACTAATATATAGAAAAAATTAGCCGGGCATGGTGGCACATGCCTGTAGTCCCAGCTACTCAGGAGGCTGAGGCAGAAGGATTGCTTGAGCCCAGGAGTTTGAGGTTGCTGTGAGCTAGGCTGCCGCCACGGCACTCACTCTAGCCTGGGCAACAAAGCGAGACTCTGTCTCAAAAAAAAAAAAAAGATACTGTGCATTTGTCTTCTCTCTTCACTTCCACAGCCTCCAGCCGGGTCCAGGACACTGTCAGCTGCCTGGACTGCTGTCACAGCCTCCTAACCGGCTGCTCTGCATCCTCTCTGCTGCGGGGCCTTCCACTCCATTCCCTCTGCATGGAATCCAGTGTGATGTTTTTAAAATCTCAGATCACATCCCTTCCTGGTAACACTCTTCAGTGGCTTCCCACTGCACACAGAATAAAATCCAAACTCCTGTTCACAGCCTAAAAGGCCATATGACTTGGCGCCCGCCTTCCTCTCTCACGTTCTTATACCACTCTTCCCCGGATCCCTGAGCGCCAGCCACTGGCCTCCCTTCTCCATGCCAAGTCCTCTCCCACCTTAGGCTCTTGGCACATACTGTGCCCTCTACCTGGAGTACTCTTCTCCCAGCTCGTGGTACAACTGGTCCCTTTTCCTCCTTCAGTGTCACCTCAAAGAGGCCTTGCCTCACAACCTGTCACCCCCCCCATGACAGCTACCAGCTAACCTTGCTCATTTCCTTCTCAGCACTTATCTGAAACTGTCTTTCATTTGGTATTGTCTGTCTGTTCCCCCATGGAATATAGGCTGCAGCAGGCCAGGGGCCATGCCTGGCACGTTCACTATAAAATCCTTGACATCTGGCACATCATGGTCACTTAAAATCAACTTTTGTCTTTCACAGCCATCTTTATTCTTTAAGTCCCATGCTTAGAACTTATCCATAAAGTGAATGAAGAGAGGTACTAAAAGGCAAGTGGGGTCCTGAGAAATTACATCTACTTCCATTATTACTCCCCACCCCCACTTCTTACTCTCCCTTTCATTGTCATGATCGGTTTCAAATGGGTGTTTAACCTTTACACTCCTGCACTGTTTTCATTTATATTAAGAGTTTGGCTCTGAAATGGTGAGGGATAAGAAGGGCAGAGAGCATCCATACAGAGGAACTGGGGCCAGGATGACTATTAGCATATTGGATTCCCACTCTATTTAGTTCACCTCTCCAAGCTCTACCTTCATATGCGTGCTACTGCGCCTCTCCACTCAATCCCACAGATTTCCAACTAACTTCCTCAACTTTTCCCTAATGCATCACCACCAAGCTGCTCTTCCCCTCTCTAAAGTCAGTCAGAAGTACGCGATCCTCAATCCTACCAAATTTCATCTACATCCCTCTCCACTTCTCCTCCTCACTGGGCAACAAAAGCACCTCCCCTTCCTGGGTCCTTCCCACTCCAGCCACGCAGACTCAGGACACCTTCCCGCTCTGACTGCAGACCCACTCAGACTGACGAGCGTTCCTCTGACACACACCCTCCATTACTTAGGTCTCCCCAGACTTCCTGGATTTCAGTTGACTTCCTCCCACAGCCAAAGACCAATTTACTTTTCCTTTTCCTATGGCTGTCACATCTCCCTTCTCCCAGAAGATATAAGCTAGTTACACTGATCAGATCTCAGACTTAATCCCAACTACAAGAGGATATTTTGGGAGCTCCCCCCCCCACTACTGTCTCAAACTGACCTCTTAATCCAGGTGGCAAAAACCATGGTAAGGCCCAGCTCTAAGACAACTTTGTTTATTGTACAATACATAGCACTCTGCCCTCAAAGAACCTTCTAGCAAGAGATTAGATTTTTATTCACCAAAATCTCTAGCTTTCTTGACCCCCTGAGTGAAGGATAGTTGTCCTTTCCCTGGCCTTGTTTTGGAGAATTTTTCTGAGTGTTTTTGCCATTTTTCTGAGTGTTTTAATTGGGGACTCCAGACATTAACTAAATATATGAATATCTAACAGTTATATCCACAGATGAGAAATTCTTCCCATATAATTAAGGGCATAGAGGCCAGGCGCAGTGGCTTGCGCTTGTAATCCTAGCACTCTGGGAGGCCAAGGCAGGTGGATTGCTCAAGGTCAGGAGTTCGAAACCAGCCTGAGCAAGAGCGAGATCCTGTCTCTACTACAAATAGAAAGAAATTAATTGGCCAACTAATTATATAGAAAAAATTAGCCAGGCATGGTGGTGCATGCCTGTAGTCCCAGCTACTCGGGAGGCTGAGGCAGTAGAATTGCTTGAGCTCAGGAGTTTGAGGTTGCTGTGAGCTAGGCTGATGCCATGGCACTCACTCTAGCCTGGGCAACAAAGCAAGACTCTGTCTCAAAAAAAAAAGGGCATAGAAACAACCCAAGAACGCCAAGCCCTTCTGTGGGCAGCAGAGGGCTACTGTGCGTTTCTCAACCAGGCGTCTCTCCAGTAATTGCATTCCTGTGTTCCTCATCCAACGTCTTCATAACCTAAACTACAAGGTTTCAACTTCCCTTTCTCACCTGTTCAGGAGCTCTTTGTACATCCTCAACCAGAGCCACAGCTTCCTCACCGTTTTCTGGACACTGCTCCCTCACCCAGGTCTGGATCTCCTCTGGCAAGATAGTCAGAAATTGTTCCAAAACCAGCAGCTCCAGGATTTGCTCTTTCGAGCGTGTCTTAGGCCTCAGCCACTGACAACAGAGTTCCCAGAGTCTGCTAAAAGCTTCATGGGGGCCAGCTACCTCCTGGTAGCAGAATTGCCTGAAGCGCTGGCGGGAGGCCTCAGAGTCAGGGCTGTTGCCCTGAAGGGCTGATTTCTGGCCCTGTGTGGAGTCCTTGTTTGAGGATGAGTGTGCCTGGGGACTCCTTTCTGCAGCCATCATTTGCTTCAACGAACTGGCTCACTCTGGTTGCCACTTCTACCCTGGGAACCAGATTCCCTTTCCTCCTGTATCACCGGGATATCATGTTCTCTTGCAAGGAGTGTCTTTCTGGAATCAGAGGGACATGAGAGTGTCACAGATGTGCAGAGACTCACAGTTGAAAGAAAAGACTCAACTTTGAAGGGAGGCTGATGAGGATGGATAAAGACAGCATAAACCCATCCCATATTCCCTCACTCTGCTCCTTGCGATTGACTTTATCCCTTTGACTCCTCCACAAATCCACACCAAGGATCCAAAACACTAGAAATATCAAAAAACATAGTTTTCTCCCCAACAAAGTTTCTAAGTCTAACAAATTACCCAAACTATTCCTCACAATGTAGTCCACCTGTTCCTTCCCTTCTTCCCTCACCTTTTTCCTGTCCTGCCCTACCCTCAAGAAGCCTAGAGTCACCTTCCCAATTGCTACCTTCTCTTAAGGAGAGAACTAGTGAGTGTGTGCTTCTTAATTAATCTCTTCACTACTATTACACCACACTCCCCACCACCACCATCAACCCCTGCCCCCCCCCCCCAACACACACAGAATGTGGATAAGTCACTGTTCTGGTTTGCATGGGTTTATTTTCCAGCATCTCTTCCTCCCTTGTGATAGCAGGATATTCTTTGTGAAAAAGTCCCTCTCTAATTCATTGATTCTAGCGGGGCTGTTATTTACAATATCCTTCCCCCACTCCAAGAGTGTGTATATAACATATCTGGGCCTATCCAAATTCACATATAGGAGTGGGAAAAGCTCTGGATTTCCTGGGAAATGCTACATCGGTAGATGTAAGACTGGAGCTCTCTGCAACTATGTCCCACTCTCTATTCCACTCTTCCAGCACAGGGGAGAGCCTGTTTATAGGAGAAGACCAATACACCAGAGTCTTGACAACATATTTGGATCCCCAAGGCCAGTTTGGGTAAGGCACTATTTTTTAATTAGTTTGAGTTGGGTTTTAATTACTTAAAACACAGATTAAAACAGATACAATCATAAAGGACAATTTGACATTTTATATAGGAGCTGATATACTCCCACCAGGCAGTATTAAAGTGGATTCAGGTTGCACAACAACATGAACAGACTCAACACTACTGAGCTATAGACTTAAAAATGGCTAAGATGGTAAATTTCATGTTTTTTACAATTAAAAATTTTAATTATATTTTTTAAAAATGGATTTGGGTTGCCTTTTCTCCAAGAACTTGAACTGCCATCACTTAGATTCTCTTTATGTTTCAGTGCGGCAGAAGGGGCTAGAGACAGAGAAGTCAAGGGCATTACTGTTAGCACTCCTTAGTAGCCAAAGAGGAGAAACGGAGAGCGATTAAGTATCTTGCCTAGCATCACACAGCACAGCTCCAAGGCAGCAAGGCCGTAGCAGCAAGGCCAGGACTAAAACCTGTACCCCCTGCCGTGCACATGTTCTTACGCCCTATACCTTACCTGGTTGGAGGATAATTTAATAAGTGCTCTCCTAGTTTCATGCAGAAGGTGGATCCTGCACTTCTCTTGACCCCTTGCATCCCATTCATCATTCAATATTAAAATGCTGGTCTCTCCAAATTTTCTTTCACTCTAGAGATGGCTCAAACACTCCAAGAAATGCGGGATGAGCACGGGGAGGCCGGCTGATTTCACTTTTCACTCGGCAAGTATTCACTGAGTACTTATGCCTTCAGTGCTAGGTTAGGCACTGTGGACAAGGAGCGAGGAGTAGGGAGTGGGCAGGTCGGGGCTAGATGGGCAGGGTCCAGGAGCGCCCATCAGGGTGAGTGTCTGGGGCGCTCAGGCTCAGGGGGCGGGACCCGCCCTGGGCCCGCTCGGTTGGGGCGGGGGACGGCGACCGCGGAGCGTCCGGGGCGCCAGGCCTGAGGGAGGCCTCCTGTCCAGCGAGACGTCCACCTGGGCCTGACCCAAGCGCCTCAGATAAGACTCCCAGTGGCAAGGGGCTCCTTGGCCGACGAGGGGGCCAACGCGAGGAAGCGGAGCACTCACCGGACAAGAGCGCCCGCAACTCCGAAAACTGTCACCAACCGGGCCGGAAGTCAACGGCGCCTGCCCTTCTGCTAGGCCGCTCACTGCGCACGCTCGCTGGTCGAGCCACCGGACTACAGGTCCCGAGGTGCACTGCGACACTATTGAGAGACCCATCAGCCAATGGGCGGTGGAGGACGCCCTCCAGGAGCCAATCCTTTGGGGACGAGGCGGGCCCTCCCGTGGCAATTCCACGGCAGCCAGTGGGCGTCCCCGCGACTCGCGGCTTCGGCCCCGCCCCCAGCCCGTGCTCCAGGGTGCCTGGTCCTGGGTTCCCAGAGAGGTGAGTCTGCGGTAGGTGAGTGCGAAGCGCTGGCCTGCTCAGCATAGTGGTATCGCAGTCGCCAGCCCGAGCTCGCACCCGCTGTGTAGTTGAGCTGTGCGCCGGACCTCCGCCGCTTCGCCAGGCCCAAGGCCAGCTGGGCCGCGTAGCCAGAGCCGGGCCGCTGGGAGGCCGGAGCCGCTGGGCCTGCGGCGCCTGCATCAACCTCGCTCGAGGGCAGAAGACTCACCGCTAAATCACATTCCCCGGCTTGTGCGGTGGCCTTCCTTGGCTCTGTCCTCTAGCTCTCATCGATGTGCTCGAGGTGCGGGAGAGTTAGTGCGAGCTACCTGTAAGACAGCTTGAAAGACAGCTTGAACTTTTCCTAGGGATTCTCTCTGCCCGCCCGTTAGATTGAACTGCCCATTTCGTCTGAGACTTTGTGTGCTTATTACCGAAACCAAAGAAGTATTTTCCCCGGTGTCCTTTTAGGACGTTATAACTTTTGTCCTTTGCAAGATAGTTCAAAAAATTCGTCGAGGGAAAGACAAACTCTTCCCACGGCCAGGGACTGCTTTGTCTTCAGAGTTTGACGTAAAGGCTAGCAAATGACAAGGCCCTGTTTCTGCATCCTGGCCTCCCTAGCACCCTAGCATCCTCAGAGGAGCTTCGGTTTCCAGCATCTTTCTAGCATTCAGAGAGACTTCTTCAGAATCATGATCCCAAAGGCTTGACCCGTTTACTAGGAGAGAGAAGTTGTCTCCTGATCCCCAAAATGGCAGCTAAAATGGAGATAACTTTGAGTTCCCACACAGAAGCTTCCTCCAAGCAAGAGAGACACATAATAACAAAACTAGAGGAGAAACGGGGGGCTACTCTGCCAAAAAACTGCCCGGATCCTGAGCTCTCCCGCCAGAGCTTCAGACGGTTTTGTTACCAAGAGGTGTCTAGTCCCCAAGAGGCACTCTCCAGGCTCCAACAGCTCTGCCATCAGTGGCTGCAGCCTGAGCTACACACCAAGGAGCAGATTTTGGACCTTCTGGTGATGGAGCAGTTCCTGACCATCCTGCCCCCCGAGATCCAGGCTCGGGTCAGGCATCGATGTCCAGTGAGCAGCAAGGAGATTGTGTCCCTGGTGGAAGATTTTCACAGATCATCCAAGAAACCAAAGCAGTGGGTAAGGAGGGTCCTCTCTCGTGGTCCCCAGGGTTTCTGTTTCATCTGGGTGATATTTGGTCTCTGGATCCCTCCTTATTTAAAGAGTCCAGACATGGACTGGATGGCTTCAAAAGTTGCCTGTATCTAGAAACCTCCTGTCAATTGTAACAGGTTTTCAGAAAACCGAGCTACTGACATCCAGTGAGGAAGTAGAGGACCAATTACCATTCCTTTATGGGCCTCATGTCATCAGAGAAGTAGTTTTAAGGTTCTTGAATTTCTGCTGTCAGATCTTACCCCACCCATTCCTCTTAAATTTTTCCAATAATCAGAATTCTTAGTAGGCAAGGTCATCCTGTTGGGTATGAATTTGACTTTGGGGAATTTCACTGGACCTTGTTCCAGTGAAGTGTCTGGCATATATTGTCTTTGGATTAGGAAATTACGGTTTAATTTAGCCAGTGTTGCTATTCCTGCCCACCCTCATGCCCCAGGTCAGACCCCAGTCAGGGCCTAGGCAGGAAGCAAGCAGGAATGAAAATGGAACCTGTTAGGGAACAGGGGTGAGGCAGTCCTTTTAAACTCCTATCTCCTTACCAGAAGAGCCTTTGGCAGAACAATTTATTAGATAAGATGGTTTTTAATGGCTCCTTACCATACTGCTTCCCATTCCTACAGGGCCTGTCTCCAGCAGAAGTAGGGAAGGGGTGGTGCATAAGGTTGAAATCTCATGGGCCAATGTCATGACTGACCCTGATATCTGTGCCAGCTCTCCTCTGATGACTTTGGCACCAGGCCTTGAGAAAGGCCCAAGCTTTAGGGACAGCCACTCAAGTTTTCACCAATTCACAGCAGCATCATTCTTGTCACTCTGCGTGCCCATCCCTTTGCTTCCTGTGAGGGTTTCAACGGTGTCTATGAAAGCTGACCTCTAGACCATTATCAGGAATTGCCAAAGCAAAGGGTTCATTATAGAGCAGTGAAAAGAAAAGCTGCCCTTAGTCCTCCTGGATGGTGTTAATGGATCGGGCTTATTCCTAGGTGGCCGTTTGTATGCAGGGGCAGAAGGTGCTCTTGGAGAAAACTGGATCCCAGCTTGGAGAACAGGAAATGCCACACTTTCAACTGCAAACTCCTAGGAGAGATCTCAGGGAGAGTTCCATGGAGGAGCCTTCCCAGGCAGGATCTCATGACCAGCTGAGCCGCCATCATTGGGAGAAATCCCGGCTACTCCAGGAACCAAACCCCAAATTAGCTGGGACAGGTAAACACTCTGTGCCTCTTCTCTCCCTCTTATCAGCCCTTTATCTCCATCAAAGCATCTTATGGTTCTGCAAAGGCATAGACTACGTGTGTGTGTGTGTTTTTAAATGTTGTATGTAATAATTTTTAGTCACTAAAAAATTTCACGAATTAGAATGGTGGTGATATTATAAATAAGAAGAATGTTTTCATCATTTCTATTAATGGATATTTGACAATCCAGTACATGACAGAATTATTCTAGTACTTACTTTTCTGTCCCTTTCAGAGTTTCTTATAGTGAAGACAGATCCAAATGTGCCTACTAATGAACTTACATGCAAGCTGTGGCTGAGTTTCATTTCTTAAAATGGTGCCATGTTTATTAAAAGAAGGGTGCAAGTAGAGAAAAAGCCCCACTCCATATTATTTCTCTTCATCCTCTGTGACATTGTGCTTTAAACCCTTGGATCTATTTCCCTGTCTCTGGTACAATGCCAGTGTAATTACTGGTGCTGTTCTACACAGTACAGTGATTTCTGAAACTGAGTGACAGTGATGCCTTAGCTAGTCTTGATGATATGAATACAAAATATAGTCAGCAGGTTAGAAAGGAGAGTTACAAGAAGACTAGAGCCTTACTTCCTTGACATGGGTACATTCAATGACACTTTTGCATCTTAGTCTATTCAGACTACTATAACAAAATATAAGAGACTAACTTATAAACAACAGAAATGTATTTCTCAAAGTTCTAGAGGCTGAGAAGTCTAAGATCAAAGTGCCAGCATGGAGGGGTTCTGGTGAGGGCCCTTTTCTGGGTTGCAGGCTGCCAACCTTTCTCTGTCCTCACATGACAGAACAGGCACACAAGCCCCCTCTGGCCTCTTTCATGAGAACACTAATCCCATTCCCATGAAGGCATAGTCCTCATGACCTAATCACTTCCCAAAGCCCACCCCACCTTAATACCATCCCCTTGGGAGTTAGGATTTCAATATATGAATTTGGGGGAATATAAATCATTGCACTTTAGTTTCATGATTTTTGGAACTCAGAAAATGGAGAAGACCTGTGACATTCAGTAGAAAAGCTTATGACTCTGGTTGAGGTCCTGCCCCATAGCCTATGGCCTTCATGGTCCTGAAGAAAGTGGACCCCACACACCCCCTTGTGCCTCAGCAGAGACAGCTGGGTGTGTGTGTGCTGTCTCTGTCTCCTTTCATTTGATCCCCAAGGGGGCAGATTCCCACGCTCCTCATCCCTAAGATCCACCAGAACCTTCCTTCAGAGCTGCACTGTCCAATACAGTAGCCACTAGCCGTGTGTGGCTATTTAAATTTTACTTATTAATATGTAATTCACATATCATAAAGTTAAACCTTTTAAAGTATATAGTTCGGCCCAGGCACCATGGCTCACGCCTGTAATCCTGGCATTCTGGGAGGCCGAAGCACGTAGATCATTCAAGGTCAGGAGTTCAAAACCAGCCTGAGCAAGAGCAAGACCCCATCTCTACTAAAACTAGAAAGAAATTAATTGGCTAACTAAAAATATATAGAAAAAATTAGCTGGACATGGTGGCACATGCCTGTAGTCTGAGCTACTCAGGAGGCTGAGGCAGGAGGATTGCTTGAGCCCAGGAGTTTGAGGTTGCTGTGAACTAGGCTGACACCATGGCACTCTAGTCCAGGCAACAAAGTGAAACTCTGACTCAAAAAAAAGTATACAGTTCAGTGGTTTTAGAACATTCACAAAGTTGTGCAACCATCACCAGTATCTAATTCCCAAACACTTTCATCACCTCAAAAAGAAACCCCATAATTATTAGCAGTCATTTCCTATTTCTTCCCCCTCCCACCCACAGTCTTCTTTCTGTCTCTGCATTTTCCTATTCTGGACATTTCATATAGATGGAATAATACAATATGTGGTCTTTTGTTCGGCTTCTTTCACCAAGCATGTTTTTAAGCTTCATACATGTTATAGCATATATGAGTGCTTTATCCATTTTATGGCTTAATAATATGTATTATATGGATATACTACATGTTGTTTAGTTGGTAACTCTTATGTTTAACATTTATGAGGAATTACCAGACAGTTTTCCAAAGCAGCTGCACCATTTCACGTTCCCATCAATAGAGTATGAGGATTCCAGTTTCTCCACATGCTTGCCAGGACTTGTTATTGTCAGCATCTTTTGTTATCCCCATCCTATTAGATGTGAAGTGCCATCTTCTTGAGGTTTTGATTTGCATTTCCCTAATGACTGGTGATGTTGAGCATCTTTTCATGTGTTTATTGGCCAACTGTATATCTTGTTTGGAGAAATGTCTGTTGAGATCCTTTGCTCATTTTTAAATTGGGCTATTTGTCTTTTTACTGTAAGAGTTCTTTATGTATTTTGGATACTAGACCCTTGTATAAAGAGATTGGCCGGGCGCGGTGGCTCACACCTGTAATCCTAGCACCCTGGGAGGCCGAGGCGGGAGGATTGCTCAAGGTCAGGAGTTCGAAACCAGCCTGAGCAAGAGCAAGACCCCGTCTCTACTATAAATAGAAAGAAATTGATTGGCCAAATAATATATATAGAAAAAATTAGCCGGGCATGGTGGCGCATGCCTGTAGTCCCAGCTACTTGGGAGGCTGAGACAGGAGGATCACTTGAGCCCAGGAGTTTGAGGTTGCTGTGAGCTAGGCTGATGCCAAGGCACTCACTGTAGCCTGGGCAACAAAGTGAGACTCTGTCTCAAAAAAAAAAAAAGAGAGAGAGATAGGTTTAGCTCTTATATTTAGGTCTTTGGTCCATTTTAAGTTAAATTTTACATGTCGTGTGAGGTAGGGGTCTGTCTTAGTCCGTTAAGGCTGCTATCACAAAATATCTTAGACTGGATAATTTATATACAACAGGAATTTATTGATCACAATTCTGGAGGCTGGGAAGTTCAAGATCAAGGCACCAACAGATCTGGTGTCTGGTGAGGGCCCATTCCTCATAGATGGCACCTGCCATGTGTCCTCACACAGTAGAAGGGGCAAACAAGCTCCCTTAAGCCTCTTTTATAAGGGCACTAATCCCATTCATGAAATCTCCACCCTCATAACCTCATCACCTGCCAGATGCCTCACCTCCCAACACCACTGCACTAAAGACTAAGAGTCAATATATAAATCTGGGGAGGGGGGGACATAAACATTCAGACCATAGCAGGGTCCAACTTCATTCTCTTGCATGTGGAAATCCAATTGTCCCTGCATGATTTGTTAAAAAGACTATTCTTTCCCCATGGAACTGTCTTCAGAACCTTGTGAAAAGGCAGTTGACCATAAATGTGTTGGTTATTTATTAAACTTTGAATTTAAATTAATTAAAATTAAATAAAATTTAAATTTCAGTTCCTCAGTCACACTAGCCACATTTTAAGTACTCAGTGGCCACAGAGTCACATGGGGCTAGTGGCTTCCGTATTGAATAATGCATGCATGCTCACGCACACACGCACACACACAGACTTTCCACATTATAGCAAGTCTTATCAGCTAGCAGTGCTCCATATCCTCCAACTTCCCACAGGCCTTTCCAGCTCATTTCCATCCTGATCGTCAAGGCTAGCAGTCAGAAGGTGGGGAGTTTCTATAATTAGGTTACATGTCTAGCCCATGTTCCAGTTTCTAAACACATATATACGTAATGAAAGAAGATACCACAGGCACTGGATTTACCATCCTTTGAAGAGAAGGTGGTTGTCAGTATTCATTAAGTGAAGGATATTTGTTGAAATAGCTCAGGCACCAGACTATAAAGTGGTTTTCACCGTTGAAATTTCAACTCTCTAACTTCTTTCATTAGTTGACATTCAGTTCTCTGATGGTTTTGCTTTTCCTTGTTCCTCATTTCTTAAACCTTTCCCTAAAGGTAGGAAGGAGGGAGGGGGTTGAAGAATTTGGTTCCTAACTTTAATATAGATCAGAATCACTCCAGGAGCCTGTTAACTGAGCAGATTTGCAGGTCCAACCCCCAGAGATCTGACTCAGCCCCTTTGGGAGAGGAGCAAGGAATCTGCTTGTTTAATAAGTGTCCCAGATGAGTCTCATGGAAGTTGCCAGTAGAGGGCCACCCTGTGAGAAACTCTGTGCAGAGTATTTCATAAGTCTTTTGCTGAAGTGCTTTCTTCCAAGACCAGAAAATGAAGCATATTCTTTCTAATTATAGAGGCCCCCAGAATGAAAAGTGACAACAAGGAAAATCCACAAAAGGAAGGGGCCAAAGGAGCAAAGCCATGTTCTGTGTCAGCTGGCAGATCCAAAGGGAATGGTCTGCAGAGTCCTGAACAGAGAGGGGCAAATATGAGTGAAACTCGGTTGTCACGGAGGCAGGTCAGCCCCCCAAATGCTCAAAAGCCATTTGCTCACTACCAGAGACATTGCAGGGAATTAGAATACACCAGCAGCCCCCTGAAAAGCCACCCACTGAGAGAGTTGAAGAAAAGCAAAGGAAGTAAAAGAAGCCTGAGCAATCGTTTGCAACGGGTTGGTCACCAGCCGACACGCTCAGCGAAGAAACCCTACAAGTGCGATGACTGTGGGAAAAGCTTCACGTGGAATTCAGAGCTGAAAAGACACAAGAGAGTCCACACAGGAGAGAGACCCTACACATGCGGAGAGTGCGGAAACTGCTTTGGGCGGCAGTCAACCCTGAAGCTGCACCAGAGGATCCACACTGGAGAGAAGCCATACCAGTGTGGCCAGTGTGGGAAAAGCTTTCGCCAGAGCTCAAATCTTCACCAGCATCACAGGCTCCACCACGGGGACTGAAAGGAGTGCTCCATGCTTTAGATTCACCAGGAAGGTATTTATGTTTCTCCTTCCCCTTAGTTGCATGTAAATCACAAAGACTGTCTGTGTGAGACTTACAAGGAAAGCAAGAGGCCCTTGAGGAACAAAGGTGCACATTCAGCTGGTAAGGAGCCCCGGAAGGGCTGGCCAGGGCCTGACCATGCACAGCGACAAGTGAAGAGGTGGCAGGTCTGAGCATTGGGTCAGAGAGAACTGCAGTCTCTGCAGAGAGTGGGGAGACCACCGAGGGAGAATCGGGATGATCCTGCAGGTGGCCGCTTATTGTTAAATCGTCCCGTGGTTGTTTTATTTATCCTCTAAAATATGCTAAAGGGTAAATTATATATATATATATATAGTTATGCATTTGCTGTCATACCAGACAATTTTTATTGTGCGCACACTTCTTTAATAAAGATGAGTGACCACCAGAATTTCAAGGCAAAGTTCATTGGAAAATAGATCCTCCATTGTCTTTTCTGTAACTCCTGGTTGTTCGTAACAAAGGATGAATTAAGTGAGCGTATGTACATGTTTGTGTGAGGGGAGGGTTTCAAAGTAATTACATGGTACTTTTTACAAGAAAAGAAAAATGCATTTGAGGGAGCACTTTGTATCAAAGCACCTTTGATTTAGAAAAAGGAAATCCACACAGTTGCTGCAATCCCAACCCAAGAGAAAGGGAAAAGCCACAGTGAGAAGCACGCAGTGGACAAAGGCTGCTGAGGAAATGTCAGAGGGAATTCTTCCCTCCCTTCTCACTTCTCACTGAGGCCATTAGCTTTAAGAGTTACAAAATGGGGTGATGAAAATGTTCTAAAACTGGATTATGGTGATTGTCACACAACTTGATAAATTAACTGAAAATCACTGAAATGGGTTAACTTTATGACATGTAAATTTTACCTCAATAGCATTTTTTTTTTCTCAATAGCATTTTTTTTTTTTTTTTGAGACAGAGTCTCACTTTGTTGCCTAGGCTAGAGTGAGTGCCATGGCGTCAGCATAGCTCACATAGCGCCCGGCCCCTCAATAGCATTTTTTAAATGACAAAATATATTTATATTAATATAAAATATTAGACTCCTGGAACAAGGCCAAGAAGATCATCTAATTCCATCCCCTCTTATTTTGTCAAAGTGGAAATTAAAACTCAATCAGTATCCAAGTCTCAGTCACCCTGGGCAAGCCAGCTCATTTCTCGGTTTAGAGAAAACTTGGGGCAGATGAGTGCACCACTTCATGCAGAAAATAAGGGCTGGCCAGCGCGGTGGCTCACGCCTGTAATCCTAGCACCCTGGGAGGCCGAGGCGGGAGGATTGCTCAAGGTCAGGAGTTCGAAACCAGCCTGAGCAAGAGCGAGACCCCGTCTCTACTATAAATAAAAAGAAATTAATTGGCCAACTAAAATATATAGAAAAAATTAGCTGGGCATGGTGGCGCATGCCTGTAGTCCCAGCTACTCGGGAGGCTGAGGCAGTAGGATTGCTTGAGCCCGGGAGTTTGAGGTTGCTGTGAGCTAGGCTGACGCCACAGCACTCACTGTAGCTTGGGCAACAAAGTGAGACTCTGTCTCAAAAAAAAAAAAAAAGAAAAGAAAAGAAAATAGGGCCAGGTGGGCTTCTTCGTAAAACACCAGTATCAAGTCACTGCCAGTCACCTTGGGGCTGCGACCTGTGTTCTACCTCCAAGAATCTCGGGACAAGTGAACACCCATGAGTCTTCCCTTGGGGACCATGCACACACTGTTCCCTTTGCCTTTAGTTCCTGCCGTGCCCCCCTCCCCACTTCCTTCCACCTCCTCCATCTCTCAGGCTGCCTGCTCTGCAAGGCCTTCCCCGACGTTGTAATCATGAGTCTGCCTGCCTGCTAGACTCCATACACCCGGTGCTCAACCTGGGACCCCCCCCATCCCCTGGGGATGTTTGGCAATGTCTGAAGATTTTTTTAGTTATGATTTGGGGAGGAGAGGGTTGCCCCTGGCCTCTGATGGGTCCTGCTGACTGTCCTGCAGGCACAGGACAGCCCCCACAACAGCCATCTGGCCCAGCATTATCAATTGTGCTGAGGTTGGGAAATTACTATATACTGTACAACCTCTTTCAGGACAAGAACCTTGTTTTTCCGCCATTTTAGCTTTTGGACTTAGCCCATGCCCAGCCAAGAGAAATAAATGTTCAGTAATTGAATAGTTGAGGACCCCTGCTTTAACTTCCAGGCCCATTTCTACCTGAATTGAGAGATCTGTGACAATCTATTGACTACACAGACAAGCACCTGCCTTTTGGGCAGAGGTTTATTGAAAGCCCATTGGCCTTTCTCATAGCTTTTGGTGGTCCCTTAGGCCCTACTCCCCTTCTGTCTACTATGTTAAATCATAGAATTTATCTTCGGTATCCGGCCTGCCCCTACCCTGCTCCATCCTGCTGCCTCTCCCTGGTCATGTGTGCCCCCCTTGCTCTCCCCCGTTTTCTAAGCTGATTTCATTGTTGCCCTTTAACATGCAAGTCATAGTCACACCTGTGTTAGTTTCCTATTGGTGCAATAACAAATGACCACAAACTTCTCATCATTCTGGAGGTCAGAAGTCCAAAATCAGTTTCACTCAGCCGAAATCAAGCTGTCAGCACGGCTGGTTCCTTCTGAATGCTCTGAGAAACAAATCTGTTCCCTTGACTTTGTCACCTTCTAGTAGCCACCTGCATTCTCCGGCTTATGGCCCCCTCTTCCATCTTCAAAGAACATCACTCCAGACTGTCATCACATCACCTTCTCCTGACTCTGACCTTCCTGCCCCCCTCCTGTAAGGATTGCTATGAATACATTGGGCCCACCAGGATAACCCCCCCATTTCTAGATCCTTAACCTAATAACATCTGCAAAGGTCCTTTGCATATAAGGTAACACTCACAGGTTCCAGGGATTCGGATGTAGACAGGACAGCCGTGAGTCAGCCTACCACACACGTCTATCTGGAATCAATTTGGTCATAGAAGATCTCTCTGAAAAGGGAAGGAGCATAGATTTCCACTTTTCTTGATTTATAAGAGTTGGCACAGGGACTCTTCCTTAAATAAGAGTTTTTTCTTGCTTGGTGTGTTTTGAAGAACCTGTGTGTGTGTGTTTCCTTTCTCCTGATAACAAAATCAATAACTGTTTAATAACTGTCTTTGGGTACCTGTTCAACTGTGGACCTTGAATAAACATGACAAAATCACCACTCTGAACATCATTCATTTCCAAAAGGTTTCCAGTCTGCGATGCTGTCTCGCCTGCCCTGCCTGGTTTTCCTTGGGCATAGGCTCAACTCCAGGTGAGGAGTGTCAGGAAGGGCCCGATGGCTGGAAGGAGGACTGTGGCTGCTGCATTCGGACATAGGTGTCCCCTCGGCCCCCTTGCCCATGCACGGTCCATCAGAGGTGCTCAGCCTGAAATGCTCACCTGCTGGTTTGCCATCGGCTGCCATCTGCAGCACCCCAGTGTAAGAAAGGAGTCTTTCTCCTTTCGCGTGTAGCCCTTGCCCGTGGAGCAGCCGGTAAGGTTCTGTTGTCTTTTCTGGGCCCTCCCTGTCCTTACCTATATTGGGGTGGGGGTGACTCCTGTTCAGGATATTTGGTCCCCAGGTCCCCAAGAAGATGGGAGAAGAGAGGAAGCACCAGCAGACAAGTGGGGGTCTGGGCACCACAGATTTCTCTGAAGAGCATTTCCATCTACAGCAGATGAGGATTTGTAAAACCCAACCCATGATACCATTATCACTCCCAACAAAATTAGCAATAACTCCTGAATACCATCTAGTAGATAATATTGAAATTTCCTCCAATTGTTTCTAAAACAAACAATGCTATTTTTAGCTTTGATATATATTTCATATACCTAAAAAATCTTCCATTTAAAGTGTATTGTAATACATTCTCAGTTGTGCAACTTTTACCACAATCTAATTTTAAAACATTTTCAACAGCTCAAAAAGAATCCCCTTAACCATGAGCAGTCACTCCCCATTTCTGCGCCTTCCCTGAAGTCACTTAGCATGTCTTCAAGGTCCATCCATGTTGTAGCATATGTGAGGACTTTATTCTTTTTTTTTTTTTTTTTTTGAGGCAGAGCCTCACTTTGTTGCCCAGGCTAGAGTGAGTGCCGTGGTGTCAGCCTAGCTCACAGCAACCTCACACTCCTGGGCTCAAGCAATCCTGCCTCAGCCTCTGGAGTAGCTGGGACTAGAGGCATGTGCCACCATGCTTGGCTAATTTTTTGTATATATATTTTTAGTTGGTCAATTAATTTCTTTCTATTCTTTTAGTAGAGATGGGGTTTCACTCAGGCTGGTTTCAAACTTCTGATCTTGAGTGATCTGCCCACCTCGGCCTCCCAGAGTGCTAGGATTACGGGCGTGAGCCACCGCACCCGGCCCCAAGACTTTATTCTTTTTATTGCCAAAGAATTCCATTGTATAGGTAGACCACATTCTGTTTATGTACTCATTGATTGGTGGACATTTGGTTGTTTCCACTTTTTGGCTATAATAAATAATGCTGCTATGAATAGTGGCATTACAAGTTTTTATGTTGTCTTTTCTCTTAGGTATATACCCAGAGGTAGAATTGCTGGGTTATATGGTAGTTCTATGTTTTAACTTTTTAAGGAAGTACCAAATTGTTTTCCAAAGTGGCAGTACTAGTTAACATTCCTATCGGCAGTGTATGAGAATTCCAGTGTCTCCACATCCTCCCCAATACTTGCTATTGTCTGTCTTTTTGATTATAGCCATCCTAGTGTGTGTGAAGTGGTATCTTGTGATTTTGATTTTCATTCCTCTAACGACTAATCATGTTGGACATCTTTTCATGTGTTTACTGGCCATTTTGTATCTGCTTTGAAGAAATGGCTATTCAAAACTTCTGCCCATTTTTTTCATTGGGTTGTCTTTTTTATCATTGAATTATAAGGATTCTTTAAATATTCTGGAATCAAGTCCTTATCAGATATATGATTTGCAAATATTTTCTCCCATTCTATTTTTACACAATTTTAGTACATCTCTTTAAAAGAGCTGTCACCTGCCAAAATACAAGAGTGACCAAATTGTCCCAGTTCCTGAATTATCCAGTGAAACAGGATGGCCTTCCTGTGAATGGATAATGAGGCTTGGGGTCCTTTTGACACCACTTAGACTAGTTCCTGGCAGCCTTTAGGTCACACCACGGCCACAGGCTACCCACTACTTCAGTCACACATGGCTCAAAATGTTTTAATGGAAAAAATATTTTTTTAGTTCTTTTAGAATAATTCTGTTCAGGCTCTTGAGTAAATAATTTTCTAATGTACTAAAAATGTTTATTGATCACTTAACAAGCAACAGACATTGCTAAGTGCTTTATATACAGGACCTCATTTAATTATTAAAACAACTCTGGAAATAGTTATTGTTCCCCTTTGAGAGAAAAGAAACTGTAAGTTCAGAGAGTTTAAATAACTGGCTAGACCACAACAATTTTTTTTTTTTTGATACATATTCTCACTCTGTTGCCTGGGCTAGAGTGCCGTGGCATCAGCCTAGCTCACAGCAACCTCAAACTCCTGGGCTCAAGCAATCCTCCTGCCTCAGCCTCCCGAGTAGCTGAGAATACAGGCATGCGCCACCATGCCTGGCTAATTTTTTCTATATATTTTTAGTTGTCCAGCCAATTTCTTTCTATTTTTTTAGTAGAGACGGGGTCTTGCTCTTGCTCAGGCTGGTCTCGAACTCCTGAGCTCAAACGATCCTCCCGCCTTGGCCTCCCAGAGTGTTAGGATTACCGGCGTGAGCCACCGCGCCTGGCCGACCACAACAATTTGTAAACACCTCTACAGTTAGGACTAGGTCTGATTTCAAAGTCTGTGTTTTTAATCTCTGTGCTGCAAATCACTCCCTCTGTGTTGCCCAACAGAGATGGGGCTCTGGGCTGGTGGCTCCCATTGAACCTACGGAAACCCTGAAGTCTGGAGGGACGTAGGGTGAGAAAGATGAGCTGAGAAAGCGAAGTCCCTGAGACCCCTCAGCTTTGAGGAGCAGCCCAAGAACAGGATTCTAGGCAGGCTTTTCTGATTCAGGGCTGCATCTGAGGACACCACCAGCAGCTGGACTCTTCCAAGCTGGAACAGGAACACCTAAAAGATTTACAGGGGACGCACGCTAAGAACAGGCAGGATGAACAGGCAGAATGTGGTCTATCCATACAACGGAATATTATCCAGCCATAAAAAAGAATGGAGCCCTGACACACGCTACAGCATGGCTGAACCTTGAAAACATTATGCCGAGTGAGAAAAGCCAGACACAAAAGACCACATTTCATATGAGTCCATTTCTGTGCAATGTCCAGAGTAAGCAAATCCTTAGATTTGCATAGAAAACAAAGAAGTAGTTGCCAGGGACTACGGTAAGGGAGAATGGAGAGTGACAGCTGGAGGGTACTGGGTTTCTTTCTGGGGTGATGGTTGCACAACCTTGTGAATGTACTGGATTGCACACTTTTAAAGTGTAGATTTTATGATGTGTGAATTATATCTCAATTAAAAAGAAGACATGGTAGACAGCTCCACAGCCTGAAGCCTCGACCCCAGGCCCCACAGCCAGTGAGTGACCCAGCGCGCAGGGCAGGAATCGTAGCTGCTTCTGACTGAGGTCAGGGCAGTGGAAGCAGAGTGGTCAGTTGGTGGCCCGGCACCCTTGTCCTGCTGCTGCCCCCAGAAACTGTGTCCCCAGGTTCCCGAGACACTTGTCTTCTCACTGCTCAGAACCAGTGCACTTCTGAAGCCTCGCTGTAGATTCCACCCAGGATCAACGGGCTGAGCCAGTGCAGAGCACTCCTGTGAACCCCGCCAGCTAAGGCCCCGCAAATATACTGCAGCTCAGAAGCTGGACAGGAAGGGGTGGTGGTTCAGCTATAGCCACGGGGACTCTGAGGCCAGAAGTGTGAGAGAAAGCTCTCCAAATGTCACTCCTGGCTCCAGAAGCTTGATGATGGACCAGATAAGGGCAGAGCCACCCCAAGAACTGACCTTGGTCCTGGGGGTGACTTGGGGCTTAGCAGGACTCCATGAACAAACCAGGGCGGTGGAATTTGTACCAAGCTAAAACCAAACGATGAGTTTACACCCGGCTCTGTCATTTTCCAGCCCCGTGGCCCTGGATATGTGATTTAAGTTCTCCAAGCCTATTTCTACCACCGGAAATGGGAGACTTGCCCTGCTTCCCTCATGACTGTCGAAGAGGAAACATGTATGTGAAAGCATTCTGTTTTCTGGAAAGGATCTTATAAAAGGAAGATGAAATTATCAGTCAAATCTTGAAATCTCCCCATAAGCTCTTTGGGTCCAAGTACTAGGGCCTGGAATGACCACAGAGGCCCACAGGGATTTGAGGGAAGAAAAGGCCTATTTTCCTGACTTAGCACTTGCTGAGGCTGTGGTCGCAGGACACAATGTCCTGGAAAGGGAGGATAATTTCTCCAAAGGGCTGTTTATTAATAAAATTGTTGTCCTAGAGAAGGGTGGCCCAAAGCAGAATAACTTCCCTTTCTCCCCTCATTCACAGCCCGTGTTTCTTCCACGGCCCTTCCTGCTGTCTTGTTTGTTTGCTTGTTTTAGAGACAGGGTCTCACTGCATCCCCCAGGCTGCCGCGCACTGGCACAGTCAGAGCTCCCTGGAACCTCCAGGTCCTGGGGCTCAAGTGATGCTCCTACTCAGCCTCCCGGGTAGCTGGGACTACAGATGCCACCACCGCGCCCAGCCTGCTGCTGTTCTTGTGACATATCCTCAGGTTCAGAGTCTCTTCTCAGCCATGTCCGGTCTGCTAACGGGCCCGTCAAAGGCAGTCTTCATTTCCGCTGAGGTGTTTTTGATCTCTAGCCTTTCTCTGTGGTTCTCTCTTAGGATTTCCACCCCTCTGCTGACACCGCCCATCTACTCTTACACGCTGTCCACTTCAGCCGTTAGAGCCTCAGCAGGTGAATCATCGTTTTAAATTCCAGATCTGATCATTTCCGCACGCCTGCCGTGTCTCGTTCCGCTGCTTGCTCTGTCTCTTCAAACTGTCTTTTGCTTTTTAGGGTGCCTTGTAATTTTTTGAGAGCTGGACGCGACGTGCCGGTGAAAGGAACTGCTGCACGAAGGCCTTTAGCGGTGCCGCGGCGAGGCGTGGGGGAGGGGAGGTGTTCTGCAGTCCTGTGAGTAGGTCTCAGCCTTCTGTTGGGCCTGCGCCCCAAAACTGGGAATGTCACACGTTTCTGATTTTTTCTCCCCTCCTTAGGAGGGACAGGATGGCCAGAGAGGGCTGGCGTCAGGTATCTCCCTTCCCCAGGTTGGCCAGGCTCCACTAAGACCCCCCCAGGTCAGGCTGCAGTTAACCAGTCTCTCCCGAGAGCAGGGTCCCCAGGAGCAGAGAGTGCTGTGGCCTGTTTCAGCGTGGTTCCTTCCTCCCGCACTTCTGTGAGAACATGGTGGGGCTCCTGTAGGCAAAGCTCACACAGCGGTGGCGGCCCCAGTGACTGAGTGCCCGTGGGGTTTTGAACTATCAGACGTGTCCACACTGAGCCCCAGCAATTACAGCTCAGGTTGTCCTTCCCCAGCACCGTGTCCTTGGAGGTTTCTGCTCTGGTAAGTTGTCGATCTCTGTGTCTGCCTTTTTGTTTCCAATTTTATTTATTTATTTTTGAGACAGGGTCTCACTCTGTTGCCCGGGCTAGAGTGCTGTGGTGTCAGCCTAGCTCACAGCAACCTCAAACTCCTGGGCTCAAGCGATCCTCCTGCCTCAGCCTCCCGAGTAGCTGGGACTACAGGCGTGCGCTCATGTCCAGCTCATTTTTTCTATATATTTTTAGTTGGCCAATTAATTTCTTTCTCCGGGTCTCGCTTTTGCTCAGGCTGGTTTTGAACTCCTGACCTTGAGCGATCCTCCTGCCTCGGCCTCCCAGAGTGCTAGGATTACAAGCGTGAGCCACCACACCCGGCCTTTGTTTCCAATTTAGAAGGCAACTGTTTGCCCTGTGACTTCACTTCTCTTAAAATCTAAGAATTGTTGGTTTCTTGTTGTCAGTTTGTTCAGCTTTTTACTTGTCATTAGGATGGAGTGACAGCATCCAAGCTCCCTATATTCGGAACCAGAAACCAGAAGTCCCTTTATGCTGTTCTTACTTCTTACATTGGCTTTTTAAAATGTAATTTTTTATTGTAGTAAGAGATACATAGTATACAATTTATTGTTTTAACCATTCTTAAGTGTGCAGTTCAGTGGGCTTAAGTACATTCACATTGTTGTGAAACCATCATCATCATCCATCTCTAAAAATTTTCTATCTTCCCAAACTGAAACTCCATCCTCATTAAACACTAAAACTCCCCATCTCGCTCCCCCAGCCCCTGACAACTACCGTTCTGTCCCGTGTGTCTTGCGCTTGCTCAGGCTGGTTTCGAACTCCTGAACTCGTGAGCCATGGCACCTGGCCCTATTTGTCCTTTTGTGTCTGTCTTCCTTCACTTAGCACAGTGCTTTAATTCACACTGTAACATGTGTCAAGAATTTCCTTCCCAGCCGGGCTCGGTGGCTCACGCCTGTAATCCTAGCACTCTGGGAGGCCGAGGCAGGAGGATCGCTCAAAGTCAGGAGTTTGAGACCAGCCTGAGCAAGAGCAAGACCCCTTCTTTCTACTAAAAGTAGAAAGAAATTAATTGGCCAACTAAAAATATAGAAAAAATTAGCCAGGCATGGTGGCGCATGCCTGTAGTCCCAGCTACTCAGGAGGCTGAGACAGAAGGATTGCTTGAGCCCAGGAATTTGAGGTCGCTGTGAACTAGGCTGATGCCATGGCACTCTAGCCCAGGCAACAGAGTGAGACTCTGTCTCAAAATAAAAATAAGTAAAATAATTTCCTTCCTTTTTAAGGTGAACAACATTCCATGGAATGTCTGTACCATGTTTTGCTTATCTGTTCATCCGCCAGTGGACCTTAGGGTTGTTCCAGCTTTTGGCTATTATGAATAATGTGCTTCTTACTTTTTGTGAATACATTATTTTCAGAAACAAAATGAAAAGTTCTCCACAGAGGCCAGGCACGGTGGCTCACGCCTGTAATCCTAGCACTCTGGGAGGCCGAGGCAGGCGGATTGCTTGAGGACAGGAGTTCGAAACCAGCCTGAGCAAGAGCAAGACCCTGTCTCTACTATAAATAGAAAGAAATTAATTGGCCAACTAACACACACATATATATATATATAAAATTAGCCGGGCATGGTGGTGCATGCCTGTAGCCCCAGCTACTCGGGAGGCTGAGAATGCAGGATTGCTTGAACCCAGGAGTTTGAGCTGACACCACGGCACTCACTCTAGCCTGGGCAACAAAGCGAGACTCTGTCTCAAAAAGAAAAAAAAAAAGTTCTCCACAGGGCCATCAGAGTCTTCAGAGAGTGGCCTTGTACATCAGTGTCCCTAGAGTACCTGAAAGCAGGAATAGGAGAAGAGGTCTAGGAAGGGGCTTGCCTGGAGGACAGGGGTGGCAAGTGAGGAGAGCAGGACGGCAGAGGGGTCTGTCCCAACAGGAGCAGCTTTAAGGAGAGCAGAACTCCAAAGGTGAAGGTTACAAATTAGGGCTTAACTGGGTCCACCTGGGAGGTACGAGGTCATGGGGACATGTGCATGTCTGTGTGTGTGTTGTGTGTGTGGCAGGTGACACCTGTACTGAGGACATAGCTTTGTCATGAGAGGACAGGGGCAGCGTCCCATGTTCAACAGGAGGGAAGTTCCAAGCTGATGGATTCTTAGGAGTCTGTCCCGTAGGCTTAGGAAATGGAGAAGCCCAGGAACTGACACAGAGACGTATAGGCCATATGGAGTGAGGGGTTTTGGGTCCAAGACAATGTCATGAGGAAGAGTTTTAGGTCACTTGTTTTAACCTTTTGAAAAACCTTAAGCAGGGTTGGGAGACCATTCAGTGTAGCCAGGGGTGCATGAACTTGGGTTTTGGACAGACTTAGATCCAATCCTAGCTCTAGCTACCCTTTCAGAACCTTTTTCTTCAGCTGCAAAATGAGAACACTGCTACCTACTTCAGAAGGTTCAAATGAAGGGACCTGATTATGTGTCCCCAGAGTAACGAGTGACCTGCCACCCTAAGGCAACAGCTACATGGGGCATAAATGCTTCAGCCCTTAAGAGCCTGGTCCCCTAGGGGCGGCTCCCACAGGACTGGTCCAGCTACCACCACCAGAAGTGCCAACCAGCGGGCAAGGTGATCATTGGCAGGTGATCATTTTTGCATCTGACCACTCCATACTCCTCTTGACAAACCTTTCCAAAGTCAGTCTATTGCTGGAAGAAAAACCAAGATTGTCCACATTCTACCTGTGGCACAGATCTTTCTACCACACCTTGCTAGACTATCACCCAAGCTCTTATTAGAAATTTTCATAGAAGGGGAACTTGCCACTTTACACAGTAGAACATTTCTTTGGGGGACTGTCCTAGTTGTTTTAAGTTCTAATAGACTGGACTTTCAGCTATGCAGGCTTTTGCCCCCAGAATCCTTGTTGCTCCCATGAATACTTTGGAGACGGAATGGACAGGGGTGAGGGGAAGGGGAAATGAAGGGATCATGTTCTAGCCTCTAGAAAACCCCACACAAAATAAGCACTTTGTAAATATCTGTTAACCTGAACTGCTCTGAATGCAGGGAAGGAGCAAGCCAGGTAGTGTGTTTTGGGGAGAAGGTTAAATAAAGCATCTTGGGGACCCAGAAACCTCCAGAGAGCATGCCCTGGAATGTCCAGTTCTGAGGCATACACCACACTGAACAGGATGACTTCCTGGGAAAGACAGTCTACTCTAGAAGAGGACAGTGAGAGTCCTTTCCGATCTAGGATGTGGAGAAATCAAAGGTCTGGGTGTTGGAGATCACACCAGAAGTCAGGAATGTGCCCTCAGGTAAGGAGAATTGGAGCTGAGCAGAAAGTTCTCCCAGATGGAGAAGTCTGTTCCTAGAGAGTAACAGGACCTCCTGAGGCAGGAGGAGAGATGAGGAGCCTAGTTACAGCCCGGGCGGGCAGAGGAGCTGGGCAGGAAGTGTGCCTCTGGAAGGCAGGCTTCCATCTGCTCCTCTTTCATCATGATTTTCTGTTGGGCCACAGCCCTTCTTCAAACCCTGATGAAAATTCCCTTGTGCTCAGTTCTTTGAAACACATTTTGAAAATTTTCCATTTGCACCAGGTGGGTTCTATGGAAACTGGAAGGAAACTGCACTTAAACCAGAGTATGTCTTTTTTATTTTTATTTATTTATTGTTCGGAGAACTATATTATTATACTAACATCTAGTTTATTTGATTTTTATTTGGTTGCACAGTATGGAGCAAATTCTAACACAGAAATGAGTTACAAATGCTGACAGTTTTAACAGCTCATCCTGCAAGATACTCTTTGAACAGAGAAAGCAAAAGCAGCTTTATTATAAAGTCTGCACAAAAATAAGGTAAGCTGGTAGCATAAATTATTTACATGCCTCTGACAGGTTAGAAATTTTGTATATTACATATTTAAATATATATTTTATTGCAACTAAAAAATATATATTTCTCCTTTTTTTACTTCAAAAGTTATTTTGTTAATAGAGATATAGTTCACATTCCATAAAATTCATCCTTTTAAAGTGTATAGTTCAGTGGTTTTTAGTGTATTCACAAAGTTGTACAACCAGACACGGGTTTTGTTGAGAAACAAAGATGACTTCCTGACAAGGCGTGTTAGCTGATCACACAGCTAGCATGCTGCTGCGGTGGGACCTGACCAGGAGACAGCTTGGGACAGTAGAAAAGGCCCTGGGCTAGTAGCCTGAAGGCCTGGGTGCCATTTAAGCACTGCAACTAGGCCGGGCGCGATGGCTCACACCTGTAATCCTAGCACTCTGGGAGGCTGAGGCAGGTGGATCGCTCTAGGTCAGGAGTTTGAAATCAGCAAGAGCGAGACCCCGTCTCTACTTTAAATAGAAAGAAATTAATTGGCCAACTAATTATATAGAAAAAATTAGCCGGGCATGGTGGCACATGCCTGTAGTCCCAGCTACTTGGGAGGCTGAGGCAGCAGGATTGCTTGAGCCCAGGAGTTTGAGGTTGCTGTGAGCTTGGCTGATGCCGCAGCACTCACTCTAGCCTGGGCAGCAAAGCAAGACTCTGTCTCAAAAAAAAAAAAAAAAAAAGCACTGCAACTAGCCAGTTACTGAGCCTGTGACACCCACACCACAGTTTCCTTATCTGTAAAATGAGGGGGTTACACAAAATGCTCTCTCATTTTCTTTTTAGTTCTACTACCCTGAGCTGCCCATATATACCTCAAATGTTTAGTTCTGCCTTGAGCCAAAATAATGGTGAACTCAGAGCTTGGGAAGGTGGATTCCTGTGGAGGCCTAGGATTCACAAGACCTGGGGGAAGAGGACGCAGAAGGAAAACGTGCTCAGTTTGCCCCCACCTGCTTTTCCCCAGGAGATGAGTCCATCATCTATCTGTGTTCACTTTCTGGGTCACCGCCTGACCCCTCTCACCCAACATTCTAGTTTCTGGGCTTTCTCTCCAAATCCTCCATCAGGGTTGCTGCTTCTTGTCACCCTCAGGATGCTGGTCCTGAACCCAGTCTGG